TATCTGGCTTGGCCATCAATTGGCTATCTGACTTCTAATCTCATCTGGCTTGGCTTATTCTATTATCTCTCTATTCACTAATCTATCTGGCTTCTACAGTAACCCTATTTGGCTTATCCACTAACCATCTGGCTTCTACAGTAACCCTATTTGGCTTATCCACTAACCATCTGGCTTCTAAGGTAAGTCTACCTGGCTTCTAATCAATTAATTTAACCTATCCGGCCAACCCAGTAAATTAATACTTATTTATACAGACAGACTGACGATTATATGAATTATATATACAACCCCTCATGTACTGGAGATAATCAGAATTATTGATATAATTTGCTGATAATTACTAAGTTAAAGGTGTTATTATGTCATTATTACTATCAACATGGTGATAATCTGTAATAATGGTGATAATCTATAATAATGGTGATAATCTGTCAACATGGTGATAACTGATAGGAGGTGAGAGAAGGGAGAGGGAGGAGAGGGAACAGTGAGGAGAGGGAATGAGAGAGAGGGAGAAGAGGAAACAGCAAGGAGAGGGAATGAGAGAGGGGGAGGGAAAGGGAAGGAGATGCAGATAGTATTGACAAAGAGAGAGAGAGAGAGAGAGAGAGAGAGAGAGAGAGAGAGAGAGAGAGAGAGAGAGAGAGTAAAATCACCTCACTAACTCACTAATTTCACCGGCCATTAACATTTAACACCTCCTTGCCAGCACTAATTACCCCCCCAGAGGTAATTAGCATCATTTCAAAAACACAAATTACCCCGAGAGGATGACATCAAAATGGTATTAATGACTTTCTAATTATAATGAGTGAAATATTTATGCTAATGAGTTACTCAAATGCGATTTAATACTTACCGCTCAGTGCAATTTTCTTAAGCTAAATTGCCAGTTAATATTATAGGTGATGTATTTATTGATGTATATAATCTATTGTATTTTTATAGACTAATGTATATAATCTATTGTATTTTTATAGACTAATGATATAATCTATTGTATTTTTATAGACTAATGTTATAATCTATTGTATTTTTATAGACTAATGTTATAATCTATTGTATTTTTATAGACTAATGTTTATAATCTATTGTATTTTTATAGAGTAATGTATATAATCTAATGTATTTTTATAGACTAATGTATATAATCTATTGCATATTAGCACTACAAAATGCAATGGGTGTTTTTAAAATCTTTCAGTCAAGAGTTAAAAATTGACTGCTAGATTAATATCCTTGTCCACTAGAATTTAAAATTAGTTTATAAAAAAAAATACTGATAAATTATATACCTGTAATATATTTTGTAATTTACTGCAATACCTATAAAGAATATAATTAAAGGGGTGTGTGTGTGTGTGTGTGTGTGTTAATACTTGATATACGAACCCTAGGGCTGAACACATTGAGGTTTTTATGACGATTCCCCATAACAGAAGATTATCCATGGATCACCTGAAGATTAGGCCCCCCAGCTTATTAGGGGGTTAGGATAGGTTAGGTTGGGTTAGTTTGGTTGGGTTGAGTGAGGTTAGGTTAGATTAAGTTTGGTTAGGCTAGCATTAGGGTGGTTAATCATTAGGTGAAATAAGCTAAGGGGTTAATATTCAGGTGACCCAAACTGACCAAAGATACAAAAATAATTAATCAACAACAAACAAATTACATAGAAAATAAATAACTTACACATAATTATGACTACAGAATCTTTTAAACATATATAATTTCTGAACCTAAATCGAATTAACTACAAACATACATTATCACGATTAATTATATTTAACTCTTCGGAAATACAGACCCTTAGACTGGTAATTACACCGAATTTTACCAATTTTCAGTAAGTAAATCATCCCCTATTGACGAGCTACGCCATTTTCCTCTCAGCCACTGAACACAAAGAGAAAAATACAGCGTCAATCTCCAATGTAAATTAACATAACGGTCCAGAGGGATTAATTTTTTTAACCTCCCACGGTGACGAGTGTGTTGATGGGTGGGGTGGGGTTTTTTGTGGGTGGGAGTGTGGGGTTTTGTGGGAAGTGTGGGCTTGTGGGGTGGGGTGCGGGGTTTTGTGTGGGGTGGGGTGGGGTGGGGTGGGGTGCTGGTGGGGTGTGCTGAATAGGGAGTGATGATTGATTGGGTGTGGTGGTAGTGGATGAATGGGTGGGCTGAATGGGTGGGTGGGTGGTGGGTGGGTGTGGGTGGGTATTATGTTTGGGTGAGTGGGGAAAGTGGGTTCAATTAGGGAACATAAAACAAAATTAAACCCCAAAAAACGAAACCAAACAGAAAAATCAATAAAAAACAGAAAAAAACGGGACATTTCCACCATCACATGACAGACATCTTGACCAATTAATTTTCCTTCTTGTGATTGAAAAAAAAAATCGATGGTGAAGAATTGGTGTTTTTTGTGTTTTTTTTATGCCTGAAGTGATGACGACAAGTGACTGATTAACTGCATGTGTTTTTTGTGATTATTTTTATTATGTGTGCTTTTTCTGTTTGTCTGTCTGTATTTCTGTCTATTTGTCTGTCTGTATCTGTCTCTCTCATCCTTTCTGTCTTTCTGTCTGTCTTTCTTTTTGATTGTCTGTCTGTATCTTTCTCATCCTGTCTCTCTCTCTGTCTGTCTTTTCTTTCTCACTGTCTCTCTCTCATGCCCTCTTTTATTTCTGTCTCTTTCCTTCTCTATTTATGTCTCTCTTTTTCTTTCTTTGTCTACTGCTCCATCTCTCTCCTCTTCTTCTTCTTGTCCTTCTCTCTCCTCTTCTTCTTCTCCTTCTCTCTCCTCTTCTTCTTCTCCTTCTCTCTCCTCTTCTTCTTCTTCTCCTTCTCTCTCTTCTTCTTCTTCAAAGCTTAAAATTATATCTTGTGAGGTTGCCATGGTAATGCTTGTAATGGCTTCTGACATTGCCATGGTGATGCTTTTGAGTGCTTCTGATGTTGCCATGGTGATGCTTGTGAATGCTTCTGATGTTGCCATGGTGATACTTGTGAATGCTTTTGACATTGCCATGGTGATGCTTGTGAATGCTTTCTACACTCAAAAACTCTCTCTCTACACTTTCAAACTCTATCAATTTCTCTCTCTTGCCCACTCACTTTACACTCTCTCACTTACTCTCTTACTATACACTCTCTCTCTCTCTAACTCTATACTCTCTCTCTCTCTCTCACTCACGCACAAATCTGTCTTCCAGCCTTCACCCGTCAGTAAGGATGAGGACACAGCTGTAGAAGGAGCAACAGCGGCAGGAGCACTAGCAGGGACATCCTCACGGGGCGCGGGTGACCCAGGGGCCGGCACGAGCAACGGGGCGGCCTCCTCGTCAGCGGAGAAAGACGGAGACAACCCAAAGAAGCGGAGATATAGGGTGGTGGTGATGGGAGCGGCTAAAGTGGGCAAGACTGCGATCATCAACCAGTTTCTGTATGATTCTTTCACCTCCAAGTATACCAGGACGATTGAGGAGATGCATCATGGAGAGTATGAGGTGGGTTTTGGAGGGCGTGGTGGGTTTTGGAGGATGAGGTGGGTTTTGGAGGGTGAGGTGGGTTTTGGAGGATGAGGTGGGTTTTGGAGGGTGAGGCGGGTAGAGGGTGAGGTGGGTTTTGGAGGCTGTGGTAGGGATTTGGAGGGTGAGGTAAATTTTCAAGGATCATCTAGGGACTGGTAGACAAACCGGTTGCTGGATATAAGAGACAAAAACACAGTCAATCCCTTACAAATCCATTTCCCATCCCCCAAAAACATCCGACTTGTCCTAATCACCTTCTATGTCCTCAGGTATCTGGCATGTCCCTCACATTGGACATACTGGACACGTCGGGATCATATGAGTTCCCTGCTATGAGAGAATTGTCGGTCAACACAGCGGATGCCTTCATTTTAGTCTACTCGATCACCGACGCAGAATCCTTCGAGGAGGTAAGTGTCCGAATATCCTAATGACCCGTGTCCAGACTCCAGAGGTAAGTTTTAATATCCAAGCTGAGTGTCCGTATGTCTTAATGTGTCCAGACTCCAGAGGTTAGTTTTCATATCCAAGGTGAGTGTCCGTATGTCCTAATCACCCGTGTCCAGAACTCCAGAGGTTAGTTTTCATATCCGAGGGTGTCCCCACGTCCTATGTCCAAAGGGCTCGAGGTATGTGTTTTCATCTGTCTCCAGGGGTATGTGTGTTTACATAGGGGCGTGTCTCTTGAGTCAGTTTATGTATGTTGAGGGATATTTTGTGTTTCTCTCTATTTTATCTATCCAACTATCTACCTATCTATCTATCTACTTAGCTATCTATCTATCAATCTCACATTATGCCTAACCACCTAAAAAAGTGAATCTCTCTCTCTCTCTCTCTCTCTCTCTCTCTCTCTCTCTCACAAACATACCACCCCATAGATCCGCCATCTTCGAGAGTTCATCCTCCAAACGAAGAAACAAAATGTCCCTATCGTGGTAGTGGGCAACAAGACCGATCTCGAGGACCAGCGTGCGGTGCCCCTCGAAACCGCCGAAACCATCGTCCTCGTAAACTGGGAGGGCGGGTTCCTCGAGGCCAGCGCCAAGGACAACCTAAATGTATTGCATATCTTCAAGGAACTACTCAACCAAGCTAAGATCAGGTGGGTGGATGAGTGAGTGGGTGGGTAGGCGGGTGGGTGGAGGAAATGAATCATGAAGAGTATGAGGAAGATTTGATTTGATTAGGTTTGGTTAGTGGCAGATTAGGTTAGGTTACGTTAGGTTAGGTTAGATTAAGTTAGGTTAGTGGTACAGAAGATTAGGTAAGGTAAAGTTTGGTCACAGGTTAGATTAGATTAGATTAAGTGACCAACAAATCCTCAAATCAAGTTACGAGACTAATTAACCTTCCACTGACAGGTACGCCCTCAGTCCTGCAGTCAAGAGGAGGCGACAGTCCATGCCTAACGTGGGTATGCAGATCACCCCAGCCCAACTCTCCCACCTTCACCACATTAGACAGAAGAGCAGCGGCAAACGGAACTCCTGCGTCATTTCTTAGACCCTCGACTACAGGGGCCCGGCGGAACCTTGGACAACAGGAACACAGGAACACGGAAAAATATAACGAGAACGGAACGACAACAATTACGAAGAACGGTTAAATTAGTTGCAACAATGTGAAAAATTATGGAAATTTATGGAAAACAGACATATGAGAGACTTTGGTTATATATTTATGAATGAAGGGGGTAATGGTAGGGGTATTAATGGGTAAAACTAAGGGTAGGAGGGTCAGAGGATAATAGTAGATATTAATGGGCAAAACTAAGGGTAGGAGAGCCAAGGCATAATGGTGGAGATATTAATGGGTAAAACTAAGGGCAGAAGGGCATAACCTGACAGAGCCCTCCCTTGGAAAATAAGGAAAAAATTCAGTACATTACGTTACAGACTGTTACAAAGGCCTATCTGTATCCTGTGATGCTCATAATTAGTTTGAGTAACACCTGGGCTGAACACACAGGTAATCTGAGGTGCTTTTAAACCCTCAGGTAATGGTAATTAGAGAAGCTATTAGCTAGTAGTCTTTCATGTAACACCTTAAGATAAAATAGCAACAGTATATGGCTATTAGATAATGGTTAAATAGCACAGTGAGTGGACCTTTAGCTTGTGTGAATAGAGAGTGATGACACATAAGAACTATGGGCATTAAAGATGTATTTCCTATTTTTTGGGGCTATATTTTCACTCCAGTTGACATCTAGAGATATTTTAGAGAGGCATTAACTTATTTATCATGAGTGTTCGTATGTTAACAAGTAGACATGAATCAGACATTATCTTATTTTTCATTGGTGTTTGTACGTTAAAATATAGACATGAATTAGACAACTTATTTTCCATTGGTGTTCGTACGTTAAAATATAGACATAAATCGGACATTATTTATTTTTTCAATTGGTGTTTGTACGCTAAAATAGACATAAATCAGACATTAACTTATTTATCATTAGTGTTCGTTCGTTAAAATACAGACATGATTAGACAACTTATTTTTCATTAGTGTTCGTAAATGACAAAATTATTCACCTCCACAAAGGACACAGTTTTGATGTTGTGTGTTGATAACGTTAGTATTAATACGTCATATTTACATGGTGTTCGGTGACGTCACGAGACAGACAAAAGGAAAATCAAGTTTAGAATTTAAGTGCTTCGTCGAAACTCCATAGAGGAAAAAATATGGAACGCGATTGAAGTTACTGATACAAAATACATTAGTTATAAAGTCATCGATTAATAAATTATACAGTAGCTACAATGAAGATGTATTAGTGATTTTATTTCCCGGGGCATGGAGGAAAATACATGGAAAAGGACAGTTTGATGAGGAGAAAAATATGTGGAAAAAGGAGTTTGACGAGGAGGAAAATATTTGGAAAAAGGACAGTTTGATGAGGAGGAAAATGCGTGGAAAAAGGACAGTTTGGGGACAGATACAGGATACAATGTTTACATCTGGTGATGGAACTTCTGCTTGTATGGAGGAAAAGAGGAAAGAGGTGGATATGGTAACTATTGAATAACTAATGGAAAAAAATACACAAAATCAAAAATAAAAGAGTGAATAAATACACAATCCTTATATTCCCTATAAAACAGATGCTAATCCTTATATTCCCTATAAAACAAAAGCTAATCTAAGCATGGAGAAAATTACACAGAGTACAATAATACGCGAAATAATTATAGAGATCAACATACAAATTATTACAAAGAAAACAAATAAATGCTTGAAAACAAATACATAATTATATACCACATGAAACAAAAGCTATCTAGGTAATGATATCAAAGAGAATTATGGAAAAACATTAGTATTTTCATCCATTTTGTGACTTGGATGACATTTTATGGATGTGTTGTTAACGGCAGGAAATGAAACGTATGTCGGCAATGACGATGATAATAATAATATTAATAATTTCTTCTGTTATTTCTACATCATAATGTGATTAGCATTAAGTGAGGCAATGTTCTTAGGGTCTATTTTTTGATTGTAAGTTCAAGCTCGATCACGAGATTAGCTGATCAAAGTCTAGATCATAATTGGACTGTTATAACTGATTATGAAACATATTTAATCAGGTTATATTCCAATCTTTTTATGATAGTTTAAATCTCTGATTGTAAATTAGGTTTTTGATCATATTTGAATCTTTGATCAAGGATTCAATTCTTGATCACAAAACTAAACTTCTGATTAGATTTCAATCTTTGATCTAAAAGTGTTTAAATCTCTATACTGATTTGCACCTAATCTTTGGCTCTTACAATCCTCCTACAGTGAGCCACAGACAATTTCCAATCTTTTATCCAATCTCTCTTAAAGGTGATTATGACCCAATCTTATATAAATTTACCCATTGTACATATATAATCCCTTTTTCCAATCTGCTAATCTCTACTCCCATCCAAGTTATTTTAATCTAATTCTTCATGGATTCTATTTAGCTAATCTTTACCTAATCTTCAACAGGTATTCAAATCTTTTAGCTAATCTTACACAAGTCATTTTACCAATCTCCTTAATATACTGGTTTCCAATCCACAATCATTATTCCTCCCACCTTTGTAAATAGCTAATCACATCTAATCTCTACTATAACAGGTTTATATAATCATTCTAATGTGATTTGTTCTTCTATCTCCCAATCTTTCCAATCGTATATAATCCTTTAATGCTTCCAATCCCACACAAGTATTTGAATCCTACAAAATCCTTCCAATCCTACACAAATCTTTATCCCAAACACACAATTGAATCCTACAAAATTCTTCCAATCCTACAATCTCCTAATTCCAATTTTTCCAATCTTCATGTGGAATTTTTATCCAATCTTTCGCTTTTAGTCGACATAAACGCCAATTTCATAATATATATATATATACAGCGACTCCAATTAAACCTTTATAGATCTTGCAATTTTATCGGTCTGTCTGTCTTTCTGTCTGTCTGTCTTTCTGTCTGTCTGTCTTTCTGTCTGTCTGTCTGTCTATCAACTGCTGGTGATATAAAGAAATGATAAAAGTCTGTTAAGAGCATCACACAAGTCACTTACTACCCAAACAGCCAATTAGAATCGAGCTTTTGGGTGTACGTGTAACCTGATTGGGCGACGCTATGACCTGTCTGATGCTCCCAAACTCTCGTATTAATTCTAGTCATTTGTTTGTTTGTTTATTTGTTTATTTTGTGTGCTTATTATGCACAGGGTGTCTCATAGGTGGTGGATACATATACAGGGTGTCTCATAAGTGATGCAGTGGGTGGAGCAAGGGGGTGTCAATTTCAAGCAACTTGATTGGCTGATGACTGTGGGTGGAGCAAGGTAGTGTGTCAATTTCAAGCGATTTGATTGGCTGATGACTGTGGGTGGAGCAAGGTAGTGTGTCAATTTCAAGCGATTTGATTGGCTGATGACTGTGGGTGGAGCAAGGTAGTGTGTCAATTTCAAGCGATTTGATTGGCTGATGACTGTGGGTGGAGCAAGGTAGTGTGTCATTTTCAAGCGATTTGATTGGCTGATGACTGTGGGTGGAGCAAGGGGGTGTGTCAATTTCAAGCGATTTGATTGGCTGTCGATGCAGTGGGCGGAGACAAGTGATTCCTCCCTTCTATTTCACAACCAAAACAACAACCATTAAAATAACAACAATTGCCCTCAGAACCACAACCACAACACCCAACCACAATTCTTTATAACAACCACAACTACTACAACCAATATAACCACCACATTCACAAGCATAATATAAATATTCAAATCCACAACCACCACCATTAGTTGTGCAAGACAGACTTCACAACTACAACAACCAATTTAGTTCTTAACACAATATGCATCACGACAACAATGATAACTGTACAACCACACCACCCTCACAACCACAAATACCACCCTCACAACCAAAATGAACTCCTTTACAACAACCACAACCAACACAACCACAACTACCACCCTCAAAACCACAACAACCACAATTACCACCACCACAACACCCTATAGGAAGCCCTCTCTTTGTTATCTACGTTTTAAAGAAATTTATAAATATATATAAATATTTGTAAGGATCACCTGAAAATTAGCTCCTCCCCCAGCTAATCCCAGCTAACCGAACCTAAAGATTAACCACCCTTAAGCTAACCTAACCTAACCTAACGTAATCTAACCTAACTTAACCTGAAGCTACCTTAACCAAATACTAACAAAATTTAATCTCATGCTACCCTAACCTAACCTAACTTACCTAAAAAAAAATACTAACCAAACCTAACTTAACCTAACTTAATTGCTAATCTAACCTGCCCTAACTTAACCAAATCTAATCTAACACTGTACTAACCTAACCTAATACTAATCTCACATAACTTAACCTAATCTAACCTAGCACAGTACTAACCTAACCTAACTTCCACAGGTTACAACAGAGTTTAATAATCAGGTGAAATAAATTAGGGAAGGGGCACTAATCAACAGGTAACCATCTGTAATTAATGACAGGAATGGTGACACCCTTTACCTGGGCGTGACAGGTGTAAGGAGCGTTCACTGGTAAACTGTGTCACCCTAACTGTTTGTATATAAGAATTAATGACAATACAATATATCCTAGAGTATTGGAGAATGTTTTATTTAACCTGTGTGTGGAGGAGGAGGGGTGTGGGGGAGGAGGGGTGTGGGGAGGAGGGGTGGGGGGGAGGAGGGGTGTGGGGGAGGAGGGTGTGGGGGGGAGGAGGGTGTGGGGGAGGAGGGGTGGAGGAGGTGTGGGGAGGAGGGTGGGGAGGAGGGGGGTGGGAGGGTGGAGGAGAGGGTGTGGGGAGGAGGGGTGAGGGGTGGGGGAGGAGGGGTGGGGGAGGAGGGGTGTGGGGGAGGAGGGGGGAGGAGGTGTGAGGAGGAGGGGTGTGGAGGAGGAGTGTGTGGGAGGGGAGGAGGGTGTGGGGGAGGAGGGGTGTGGGGAGGAGGGGTGTGGGGAGGAGGGGGAGGAGGTGTGTGAGTGGGTGGGTGGGTGTGTGTGTGTGTGTGTGTGTGTGTGTGTGTGTGTGTGTGAACTATGGGGTCCTTATGAACAAACAAACAAAAATGAGGGAACATAAATTTAGTCGATTTAAAGAAAATGATATAAGTTCATGGGTAAATTATATAAGAGAGAAGAGAAGAAAAGAGGGTAAATCAATAACAGATATTTACTGAATAAAGTATATACCAAGAACCATCCATCTATCTATCAAACAAAGGTAATTAATTAATATCAACTTTTCCTTGTACCGACATAATCATTTCTTCACTAATCGTCAAAAAGGAAAATTTTCTTCAGTTCTCGAGATTCAGGAAAACTTTTTTCCCTGAAACATAAAATTCTAATGAAATGTAACAAAAAACACACGTACAGACACACACACACACACACACACACGTACACAAGTATACACAATAATAATAATTGTAGTCAAGAAAATCAACAAAAACAATAGTGATAAATGTCATGTGGTGGTATGGCTGGCAGTTGCAGCATTTCCGTATACAGTTGCAACAATTATAGTCATCACTGCAATAATTACATGAATTCTTGCAACTCTTCAAGACACTGTTTTTGTTTGTTTGTTTGCTTGTTTTTTTATGGGGAATAGCCCACCCGGGCATAGGTCATCGACCCACAACGGGGCCTAAGGGGCGACAATTCCAGTACATTCATTCTTGCAACACAGCCAATTCATTTTTGCAACACTTCGTCACTATTGTAACACTTACATTCATTGTTGCAACACAGCCAATTCATTTTTGCAACACTTGAACTTACTGTTGCAACACTTGTCACCATCATCACTCCACCATCTGGCACGTGACATTTATTCTCTATCTCTCCCCCTGAAGCAATACTATATGTTTAATATCATCTGACATCCTGTACTGACAACTCTCTGGATTTACCGACAACAGTGGTCACCCCCACATCCTCTCCCCCCTCCCCCTCCATGTCTCCCCTCCCTTTAGCCCCAGTTCTCCCCCCCATCTCTCCATTGTGTATGTTTATCTTCCTTTCCTCTCCTTTCCTCTTTCTCCCGAGCTATATCCCTCTCCGCTCCCCTTTCCTTCCCTCCCCCAATATTGTATCCACCCCTTGCCAACCCGGTTTCTTGCACCCCCCCATAATAATCACTTCCCCTCTAGATACACCAGCCAGACATTTCCGAGCCGTGTGTGTGTGTGACGAACGTGCAGCCAACATCGTAACGCAACATCCACTACAAGTACAACAGCCACGACTAGCATTACGAGTTACCCACACACTGGCCAGACAGTTCCGAGCCCTGTGTGTGTATAACAAACGCCAGTGTAAACAGAAAATACCACAATCAAAGTATTTATCACACAACCCCAGATAAGAGTTCGTCTCTGTGCTGAACCGACATAAGTAACACGCAGATACAGTTTTCATGTAACGAAATTAAACATTACATGATGTGATTGAAATACAGGATAATACAGTAACCTAATGATTGAAATATAGTATGGTAACCAGTGATTGAAATACAGTATAATACAGTAACCTAACAATTGAAATACAGCAAAAAATTAGAAATTGGGATGCAGATACAGTGACTGTTTGAACCCACGGAAACTGAACCTCAAAGTGAGTGATATAAGTAATTACAGTTTGATACAGTAACCAACGTGCAAAATACAGTACAAAGTTACAGCTGTGGGAAACATAAACCTTTAGATTACAGTACAGTAGTTTAGACCAAGTATAAATGCCTGTAAGGTTAGTTAATAGTGGTAGTTAATGTACTGTATATACACACACCTGTCAGAACTTGCAAATCTGTCATATATATACACCTGTAGACAAATCTAAATCTGTCATATATACAGTACACACCTGTAGATATCAAACTTCTCTACACCTGTCTTATAGAACACACCTGTGGACACCTTGTCTCCTACATACCTGTTAATCTGCACAGGTGTATGGCAGATGATCCCAAGAGTAATGAAGGTAACAATTATCATTAACATTTGTATAATTTATCAAACTTTAATTATTAAGAATTTAGTGAGATAATTACTGCAATGTGATTTTTCTATTAATAATAATAATACCTGTAATAATAAAAACAATAATAACAATAACAGCAACAATAATAATAATAATAATAATAACACAAATACTAATGACAAAAATAATAATAATAATAACAACACACCTGTAATTAGGACCAACATACCATCACAGGTAAAAACTCAGGTGGTCAGGCCAGATTTTATCATAACAAGAGATAACTCTTTGTACAAACATCCTCTCTCTCTCCTCCATCTCTCACACTTTGTCAATATCACCTTCTCCCCCCTTCCCCTCATCCTCTTTCATTCTCTCCATCCTTCCTCCCTCAAGTTCTCCCTCCTCTATCATTCTCTCCCTCCCTCATCACTCCTCCTTACCTCGTATCTCATCCTCCCCCTCTTCTCTCACCCTCACCCACCCTACCACTTCTCCCACTCCCCCTTTCATCCTCACCCCTCCCTCCCTCCCTCTCCCCTCACCTTCTCCCACTCCATCCTCACCCCCCCCCAACTCTAATCTTTGGGATACAATTAATTCTGAGTTACACGATCGCAGAATTATCTGAGGTGCGCAAATGAGAATGATATTGGTGTCTTTTTGCATTTATATATCTCATTGTGGAGAGAAAGAGAGAGATAGAGAGAACATACTATATTTAAAAACCTGTACTAGTAGTTTGAAAACACGCACGCACGCACGCACGCACACACACACACACACACACACACACACACACACACACACACACCTTTTTTCACACACACACACACACACACACACACACACACACACACACACACACACACACACACACACACACACACACACACACACACACACACACACACACACACACACACACACACACACACACACACACACACACACACACACACACACACACACACACACACACACACACACACACACACACACACACACACACACACACACACACACACACACACACACACACACACACACACACACACACACACACACACACACACACACACACACACACACACACTCTCTCTCTCTCACCCTAAACAATGCTTCCCTCGATGGCACACACACACACAACCACAGGGACTAATGTTATCGTCTGAACTCATGATTCCCGTAAACTGTAATGCCATTTTCTTTTATTTACAGGCCTCGAAAATGACCAATTCATCGGGGAATATCAGTACCGAGGCTAATATCGCCAGTATAGGGTATGAGGGTACTACCAGCGACAGCAGTAGCTTGGTGGATTTACTAGACTACACAGGAAGTACGATCATGTCTACTACTACGACTACTACTACAGACTACGAAGATGCTACCAGTGAAACCAGTAGCCTGAAAGACCTCCTGGCTAATACCAGCACTACAGACTATGAAGATAGCACCATTGAAGCCAGTAGCCTAACAGGCCTCCTGACCAACACAAGTAGGGCCCAGGACTACACGACAGACACCACCACCACTACCACCACTACAGACTATGAAGATAGCACCATTGAAGCCAGTAGCCTAACAGACCTCCTGACCAACACAAGTAGGGCCCAGGACTACACGACAGACACCACCACCACTACCACCACTACAGACTATGACGACAACTCTTACAATAATCCATACGACTTCCTGGGTAATGTAACTGGTGCCCTAAACTTCACACTCTCGGATATGGATTCAGAGGAAGAGGAAGTCGCAATGATCCAATTTGTGACGTACGAGGTCCTCCTGCCGATGGTGATAGTGACCGGAGTATTGATCACCACCATTGGCCTCATTATACTCAGCAAACCCAAGCTCAGGGTCAGACCTGTGAATAAGTGAGTAGATTCAGCTGTTTTGTTTACATGTACACGAGATGAAACAGTTGCCGTAAAATACATAAAATCTGGTACGTAACGAAGCCTCAAAAACACTGAAAATATCATTGTTTCTTTATAAATAAAGAGATACACAAATTGACTAAGTAATCGTAATATTAACTGATAAATAAATAGTAGACAGAGTAAATAGACAAATACAGTACAAATATATAAAATCGTAAACAGAGAAACACATCAATCACACCTGAACATCCCCAAGCTGACCCCACCTACAACTCCCACAGGTATTACATGCTGCTCCTGGGGACAGATGTGGCAGTGTTGCTAGTCAGTCTCTCCAGGGTCATCACCGTCAACGGCTGCCGCCTCTACTCCTACGGCGTGGCTTTCTACTTCGCTCACTTCTTCTTCAGCATCTTCTCCATGTTCCAGTCCTTCACCCTCTTCATCATCCTGTGGATCTCCTACGACAGGTATCTCGCCCTCTGGAACTTCAAGAGGTTCCAAGAGGTTCAGAGTCGTCGAGTGTTTAGGATTCGTCTCTGTTTTACCATTGTGGTGTGTGTCTGCAGCCACCTGAAGCACCTACTGACGGGGGAGGTGATGTGTTCTACCGACGGTGCAGGAGGGAGCGAGGTCTTGGGTAACGCCGGGGTCTCGGTTAACTACAGCGACCACCAAGACAGCAAAGAGTTCCTGGAGCCGACTTGTGAGAACGGGTCTTGGATACTCAAAGATGAAGTCCACAACCTTGACCGTAACAACCCGTGGGAGGTGTTACCGTGGGTGGCAAGGGGCCTGGCGTCCCTCATCATCCCCATCATATTAGTCGTGGTGTTCAACGGAGGGATCGTGGCCGGGTTAATCCAGCGCCGTCTAAACAACTCGGCGGCGACCCCGAGAACCCGAGGCCGAGCGTACTCCAGCATCTACATCACCCTGGCCATCTCCACCACCTTCTTCGTGTGTACCATGCCCATCACCATCTACATCGTCTTTTATGCCGAGACCGAAGACTGCCGAGGCACTTACTCCGTCGAGGTCTTCCGTGCCGTGGCCAACCTACTCATGGTAATCCGACACCTCACTCACTCTCTGATCTTCTCCTTCAGCGAAAACTTCAGGATCGAATTGGGGATATTCCTCACGGGTGCACGGCGGAAGATCGTCTCCGCCTTCGGGAGGAGATCCACCCACGGCCGTAGACTATCCCAAAAGACACCCAACTCCTCCCGCCCCCTCACAGCGCCCTCCTCCCGGCTCCTCCCTAAGGTATTCGTCGTTTCTCTCCCCGACAACACGGACGAACGGACCACCAGCGACCGTACCGACAGCTCCGCCCTCTCCAGCACCCCTCCACGGCTCACCACCTTCTCAGAGACCGTCCCCCTCTCCCCCACCAGACGCCTCCCTAACCACCTGGACGACTTTAACCATTCCTCCCGTCCCTCTGTCATTACCCTTGATGAAGAAATCTGAGGATAGAAGCTTCTGTTCCTATCTATCTCTCTCTCTATCTATCCAATTATCTATATTTATCTTTATCTATCTATCTATATATCTATCTTTATCAACTGCACTATCTTTATCTTCATCTATCTATCTTTCTATCAACTGTATCCATTAATTTATGTATCTATCTATCTATCATCTATCAATCTATTTAACCATCAATATAAGTGTTTAAATTAAAATAGAATCTAATATATACAGACCATTATAATACAGCTTCTCCCAGACTTACGACGGGGTTAGGGACCAAAATCCAGGTCGTAGGTCGAGTAGGTCGTAAGTCGGGGAGTCGCTGTATACTGTACTATATGTTATTATACTATATGAAATTATTATAAGGAGACATTCTAATAATATATGTATATAATATATTTCATTAGAATGTTTAAGAATCTAATATATTAATTCTTTATTTAGTGAAAACTCCATATAGCGGACTTCTCTCTATATAGTTAGTTAGATGGAGGTTTCACATCTAACGAACCCTCGATATAATGGACTTTCATCTCTATATAGTTCGTTAAATGGGGGTTTCACATCTAACAGATCCTCGATATAATGGACTTTCATCTCTATATAGTTCATTAGATGGAGGTTTCACATCTAACGAACCCTCGATATAACGTTCTTTCATTTCCACAGTCCTTTAAATAGAGGTTTTACTGTACATCTAAACACATATACTGTATAAACATTAAAACATATAAATTAATTCTTCATAAATGTCTATATATAACTCGAACCTAACCTAACCTAACCAAACCTACCCTAACCTAACCAAACCAAACCTAACCTAACCTAACCTACCCTACCCTAACCTAACCAACTTGCAACATGTACAATAAATTATTATGGCATTTTATATTCTTTAAACACATCCAAAATTATTTGAAAAAGTTGCAATAACCAGAATTTGTTTATTAAATGTATAAGATTATATTGTAACACCGTATATATTTTATAATTATTCTCTCTCTCTTTCTCTCACTCTCTCTTTGTCTCTCTCTCACACAATTTCTTTATTTCTCTGTATGTATGTCTCTCTCTCTCTCTCTCTCTCTCTTTTTAGCTCTCTCTTTCTCTGTCTTTCACTGTCTGTCTCTCTCTATGCCTCTGTCTGTCTGTCTGTCTCTCTCTCTATGCCTCTGTCTGTCTGTCTTTCACCAAGTTCCTTCTGAATGTCTTCATTTATACACCAAAACTTCCTGTTAACTTTTAGTGAATGTGTGTATGTCAGTGTGTATATATTTACCTAAAAATATATTTAATAATGAATGTATTTGTTTTATTTATACACCAAGTAATATTAATCCCATACTATATTAAATACAGCGGTCCCTCGGTTAACGAACGCTTCGGTTAACGAATTACCTTCCATAAGAATCTTCATTTCGGTTAACAAACAAAAATTCGGTTAACGAAATTCTTACGAAAAAGTGTCAACATGTTTTGGCTTGCTCACCAGCTGGAAGATTAGTCCGCCAATACAATAATCGGTTCTAGGGCTTAAATTCGTTCCCATTGGAGTAAATATCAAGAAGGTTGTGTCATTCAATATTTTTCCAAGTTTTATATTAAAATTATTAGTCATTTTAACACTTAGTTAACATAATTGCAGTACAGGGAACTAGTTTTTGGTGCGCCCATCAGCCACTCCACTTACCCACCAAGGAATCAGTTTGTGAGTCTGTTCAGTGGAGGAAACGTCTTGCTTGAGACTCTCTTGAACATAAACTATTTTTACGTTTGTACAGTACAATTATTGGTCATACAGCACAGTGCAGTGTTGATTTAAAGACAATAATCTTGAATTAGACCTAGTGAAAACTCTTATTGGTGAGATGACTGCATCAAGCATGGGTCCCCTAGAGTGTGCTTTTTCCTCCATCCCCACTTCCTTCTCTTCTCCCTTCTCCTCCACCCCCACTTCTAATTCCCATCTACATACACACCTCAAAGTAAGTGTACTTTATTGCATTTAATTTTACTTTGTATGTACTTTTCAGTGAGCTGGAACCAATTACCCAATATCCCATTGAAAAAATTTATTCGGTTAACGAACGACCTTCAGGAACGAATTGTGTTCGTTAACCGAGGGACCACTGTAAATATTTATCTATCTAGGTGAGTTTATCTTATTTCTTTAATAAAATAATAATATCAACAATACCACTAATAACAACAATAATAATAACAATAATAATAACAATAATAATAATATTAATAACAACAACAATAATAATAATAATAATAATAATAATAATAATAATAATAATAATAACAACAATAATAATAACTTTGTAAAATTAATAACAATGATAATTACATACTTGTACTACTGTATGTGAATTACATGAAAGCTCTTGGGAACTTCGTGTTTTCTTGTTTCCGTGTGGCATATATATACTGTACTGTACATATATTTGTTTATTTAGCAATGGAGGCCATATTATTAATTAAAAGATGATATTTTTGTAGTCTTTATTATTTTCATGATGCTTTCTTCACAGCTCATACAATACTTATGATATTATTATCTATATTAACTGGTGTGTGTGTGTGTGGTTGTGATCTACCTGCTGAATGTGTTCAACTCTTACAACAGCAGATGTTGTTGTCATAACTATTGACAGTAAGTGGCACCAGCAGTGTTGGTCTTGATCCAGGACAGAAACTTGCTCACCCTGGCATACACTCCTGCACTATTAGGGGAGGCACAACCATCACCGAAGGAGACAATTCCCACTTGGACATACTTGCTGTTCTCGGCCACGTAGAAAGGTCCCCCCGAGTCTCCCTGGCAGGTGTCCTTACCGCCCTCCTTGTATCCGGCACACATCATCCTGGGCGTGATACTTTTGCCCCAGCAGGATTGGTCCAGGATGGGCAGTTTGACCTCCATCAGCTTTGATGGCTGGTCACCCCCCGACTGTAGCGTCCCCCAGCCCGAGGCGATGCCCATCTCCCCGACGTAGGTCTTCGTGTCGTCCTGAGGCAGACACACGGCACCGACCTCTTCGTGCGAGGACAGGTTAAGCGGTTCTCTGAGGAGCAACACAGCGATGTCGTAGTCGTACTGTTTTGGATCATAACTGGCGTGAATGATGACTTTCTTGACGGCCACCAGCTTGGTTACACCGGATACGTCATCACTGCCTGAGGACATGTCGTGGTCGCCAACACCCACCACCAGACCCCTGTCAGACTCTCGTTCTCCTTCCTTGTTAAAGAAGCAGTGAGCGGCGGTGAGGACGTAGCGGTCGTTGATGATGGAGCCACCACACCAGTAAGCAGATTGTCTCCTTATCTTGAGGCCCACTTGCCATGGGTACTTGTGTGTGGGCGACACCTCCACACCACCCACAATACGGGATGGGTTGGCCACACCACAATTACAATTTCCCCCAGTTGGTGGTTTGGTTGCAGGGGGTTTGGTTGTTGGTGCATCTGTACTACTAAACATGTCGTCAGTGGTCCCCAGTGAGCCATAAGCTGCGAGACTCTTCACCGTACACTCAAAACCCTTGTCCTTGCCCTTCTTGTTTGTCCTAAAAGTTAATGTAAGTTGGTTGCTGTTGGCAGTGAACTTCTTTTGTCCTTGACCGCAGAGTCTCTGGGCGGCCTTTTTACCGTCAGACAACACCAGTCTGTCCCCCCTACACCACTTGGACTTCCTGAGGTAGAAGGAGGGACAGTTGACCTCCAGCGTGTCCTTCGGGTCCTTGCTCACAATATCCCATTTACACTTGTTATTGTTGGGGTACTTCTCAGGGTAGCCGGGGCTGCTGATGGTGACCTCTTCCCCGGGCTCCAGTTCCTGTAGTTAGGTCAATGGAGGTCATGGCTCTATTACCTCTCAATCCTTTCCTTTTTCCCATTAATTCATAATTCTTATAATAATAACTAATAATTTAATTGATTATCTGTCACAGGATAGTTACTGTACATGAATAATACAAATTACATTAAAACTAATCTGAGAATACATACACAACTACCATCATCTATACAGCTATACGTCTGAGAATACATACACAACTACCATCATCTATACAGCTTTACGTCTGAGAATACATATACATCGATCATGATCATCGTTTCCCTGCCTCACTTAACATACACAAACATTTGTATGACTTAAATGGTACAAAAATCAGCTTGTGGACCTCATAACAAAGATAATTTTTCCTTCGACCAAAATCTTTCTGAAATTAACGGCTCACCAAAGTGTTCGAGCGTGACATAAAATGGACTTGTTGTGTTTTGTTGTTTGTTAAATGTGTTAATATTGTTGTTTGTTAGGTGTGTGTTAATACTGTACTAATAAGAAGGTAGAGGTCAACACCAGGTGGTAAAGAGGGTTACCTTCTTTCCTCCACATGTGGCACGGGACAACTTGGCCTCCTTGTAGTTGCCTCCCAGTTTAGGCCGCCAGTCTTCCTCTGGCAGGCCGCTGACCATAGCCATGCTGGCCCACACCTGTAACACAAAATGTGAATTAACAAGACAATTCCAGTGTGTGAAACATTACCTGAGGATCACACACCTGATGTTAGTGGCTACCACACCAGGTGACAGCAGGTGTGTGAGGGTGAGAAGAGTGAGGGAGAGTTGTGTTGGTGAGAGGGTTTAAGGAGGGAGGGAGAATTGTGTTGGTGAAAGGGTCTAAGGTGGGAGGGAGAGTTGTGTTGGTGAAAGGGTCTAAGGTGGGAGGGAGAGTTGTGTTGGTGAGAGGGTCTAAGGTGGGAGGGAGAGTTGTGTTGGTGAGAGGGTCTAAGGTGGGAGGGAGAATTGTGTTGGTGAAAGGGTCTAAGGTGGGAGGGAGAGTTGTGTTGGTGAGAGGGTCTAAGGTGGGAGGGAAAGTTGTGTTGGTGAGAGGTTGAGAGCAAGGAGAGGTTTGAGAGAGCCTCACCAAGACAGCCAGAGTGATGTGAGTCTTCATAGTACCAATAACAGACTAAGACTGCCTCTCCTCCCTCCTCCACATCTTATATCTGAAGAATCTCCCCACCTGTGGCTCAGGTGTCCACTAAGTAGGTAACATCAGGTAGGGGTCTATCTCAGTGAATGGGGCACTGACCTTTACCTGAAATAGCACTTCTGTATAGATATAAATACGTCCACCTAATTATCTCTCGCGTGGGGTTCATTCTTGACTCCTATATGTGTTTGATATAGGAATGACACACATACAGACTGATAGATGCAGGAATGACACACATACAGACTGATAGATGCAGGAATGACACACATACAGACTGATAGATGCAGGAATGACACACATACAGACTGATAGATGCAGGAATGACACACATACAGACTGATAGATGCAGGAATGACACATATACACTGACTGACAGGTACCTCCCTAATGCTAACCTAACCTAATCTCCTCCCACTCATCAAGTTCAGTAATAGATGCAAAAAACCCTCTAAATAGTGGATATTCTCAATAACAGAATCCTCCCAATAATGGACGGAGCTTCCCATGAATTAGTCTGGTATTGGGAGGGAGACTAAAGTAAAATGATTGTGTTGTATTTGGCACCAGACAGACAAGGAGGGTCAGGGAATTGATGTAAGGAACCAGGATGAGCTCAAACCCAGGGATGGTTTTTAGTTGTAGGGACCGTGGCCATCATCAGTGGAGTTAGCTGTAGGGACGGTGGCCATCATCAGTGGAAGTTAGCTGTAGGGACGGTGGCCATCATCAGTGGAAGTTAGCTGTAGGAACATAAGCTAATGTTCATACAAAATAAACTGGGGGAGCTAATCATCAGGTGAAATAAACTGGGGGAGCTAATCTTCAGGTGAAATAAACTGGGGGAGCTAATCTTCATACAAAATAAACTAGGGGAGCTAATCATCAGGTGAAATAAACTGGGGGAGCTAATCAACTGGCATTTAGAATTTCGGTCACACCAATTTACTAAAGGTAGACTCCCATTAACCCAAAATTGGCAAGTACCACTAATATTAGGGTAGGTTTAATTCCTATACAGTAACTGGTATTTATTTCATTCGGTAAAGGTTGGGTTAGGTTTTGATTATGGGAGAAGGCAGAACGTAGGAAGGAGTGATTGATGAATGTGACATCTGTTCGCATTTGATATACCGTATAATTATCTGGGGTGTGTGTGTGTGTGTGTGTGTGTATTTCTCTTACCCTTATACACACACACACACCTTTAGTACACACCCTTGCACAAGTCGACCCCAATTTATGAATTTTTTAGTTACGTTTTTTTTTGCAAGTCTGAGTCTCTTTGTAATGTTTTTGTGGCAATTATATACTATTTTAGTGTTGTTATTATTGTTGTTGTTGTTATTATTACTGCTGTTATTGTTGTTATTATTAGTTGTTATTATTGTTGTTGTTATTATTATTGTCATTGTTTATTGTTGCTGTTGTCATTATTCTTGTTGCTATTATTGTTATTATTATTGTCATTGTTGTTAGTAAATAAAGTGTAGCTTAATAACAATCTTTGTATAACATAGTTGATTATAAAATATTATAACTAATATGAATATAATATACCAACTTGGATCAGGACTAAGTGTAGTAATGTTATATAGCACATGAGCCTGAACAACAAGTATACTACCCTACCCTGCCCTGCCCTACCCTACGTTAACCTGCCCTGCCCTACATTTCCCTACCCTACCATAACCTTCCCTATCCTATGCTACCCTGCCCTTAATTTCCCTACCCTACCATAACCTACCCTACCCTACCCTGCCTTACATTTCCCTACCCTACCTTAAACTACCCTACCCTGCCCTACATTTCCCTACCCTACCCTACATTTCCCTACCCTAACATAACCTTCCCTACTCTACTCAGCCCTGCCCTCTTTCCTCACCTCACAGGATGTCAACAAATTCTTCATAGGATATTACTTAATGCCGGGAGTTTTCTCTTCAACAACACATAAAGTTGAGGGAATTTTGTTACAGATGTCATATTTGTGTTGTTTTATGATTTAGAAACAACAGTTATCTTGGTAAAATTCCCTTAACTGTATTGCAAAGTTGAGTGAATTTTGTTGCAAGTGATTATATTTTCAGTTTATTTACAGTACAAGGATATTTAACCTAACCTAACAAAAATGAACCTAATCAAAGCAAACCTCAACTAGCCTAATGTAACCTATCCTATCCAAACCTAACCTAACCAATCCGAACCTAACAAAACAAAATCTAACCTAACCAAACTGTTCTTATAAACCAGGGATTGAGAGTTCGATTTTCACATGGGACCCAATATTTTAGATGGTCCTTCTCTATTTAATCCTTCTATCTATCTATCTATCCATCTGTGTAACTATCCTCTATCTATCTATTGCAGGTGGTGTGATTGAAGCCCATACTCAATTCTATATCTATCCAGAAGTGCTATTTCAGGTAAAGGTCAGTCCCCCATACACTGAGATAGACCCCTACCTGATGTTACCTAATTAGTGGACACCTGAGCCACAGGTGGGGAGATTCTTCAGGTATATAAGATGTGGAGGAGGGAGGAGAAGCAGTCTTAGTCTGTTATTGGTACTATGAAGACTCACATCACTCTGGCTGTCCTGGTGAGGCTCTCTCAAACCTCTCCCTGCTCTCAACCTCTCACCAACACAACTTTCCCTCCCACCTTAGACCCTCTCACCAACACAACTCTCCCTCCCACCTTAAACCCTCTCACCAACACAACTCTCCCTCCCACCTTAGACCCTCTCACCAACACAACTCTCCCTCACACACCTGTTGTCAATAGTTATGACAACAACAGCTCACACTACGGGTACTTCTCATAGTTGCGGCACCAACCTCAACTACTAACAGCTCTCGGTAATAACACTAATTGTGTACTCTACCTCTCGGGGTCTTATATCCAGAGTTGTGTTATGGCAGCAGGGAAATGAAAACAAAATAAATCTGACTAACTGTTGTTTAATTTATGTCATCTAACCTAACCAAGCCGAACTTAACCTAATCTAATCTACTGCTGTGTAACCTAACAAAACTCGTCCTAACCTAACCAAATTCAACCTAACCTAACCAAGTCAACCTTAACCTAATCTAATCTACTGCTGTGTAACCTAACAAAACTCGTCCTAACCTAACCAAATTCAACCTAACCTAACCAAGTCAACCTTAACCTAATCTAATCTACTGCTGTATAACCTAACCTAAACTCATTCTAACCTAACTAACCAAATTCATCCTAACCTAATCTCAACTAACTTATTACACACACACAGTATACAAAGTAACAGTAAATTGCTAAGACAACAAGTAGAAACATCCACACACATACTTGTTCATATCCTCAACACACACACACAGTATACATAGATGTATATAAATGAATAGCTAATAATTAAAAACATGACGATTTACGATGATTTTATTTACTTTACCTTATTTACCTAATGGCCGCCCAGTAGAGGTGGCCAAGCAGAGGGAAGAAGGTCATTGGGCTGTGTCAGATCCCTCCATTGTTCTTGATGTCTTCTCAATGGCTATTTTGAATCCCATTACTGTACTCTTGTCAATGTCATAGTTTGGGCTGGTAGACTGTTTTAGAGGTCAGCCACCACCACAGCTCAAGTTGATAGACCATTCCATAGATGTACGGTCATCCAAAAAAAGTCCTGTCGCGGACCATGAACCCCGAGATTCAGACTCTTGAATCCGAAGCATTTATGGACAGAATAATATATCAGTGTCTCCTGCTTCGGGTTCAAGAGTCTGAATCTCGGGGTTCGTGACAGGACTTTTTTGTGTGACTGTACCACCCAATGATAACTCGACCAGCTTGTAGTTATGTCCCCTTGTGTTGGTGGTGCGTGACATCTCAAATGACATGTCACGGGTTCATGTTTTCCATATCTTTCGGGATTATGAATGTTTCAGTGAGATCTGCCCCAATGTGTCTTGTCTGAAGGGTTTATAGTCCTAAGGCCCTCAGTTTAATTAGATAATTGAGATGACATATTTCAGGAATCATCTTGATTACTATGTTAAACCATTTCTAGGTATGTTAGGTCTTTCTGGAGGTAAGGTTTCCTGTATACAGTAATCCAGACTAGGAGATACTAAGAGATTTGTATAGATGAAGGAGCATTTTCCTATCTTTGTATATGAAAATGTCCCTTTTTTGTGCTTTCAGTAGTGTCCCTTTTATAATGATGTCCCCTTTTGTACCCTTTGGTGTTCCTATTAAAGTAGTGTCCCATCTTGTGCCTTTAGTGGTATCCCAATTATAGTAATGTCCTTTATATAGTAGTGTTTCATATTAGGAGGTGTTACAATTTAGGTAACAGTATGTCCTTCCTTTTACAGTGTCCCTTTTAAGTATCCTGTGGGGAAGGGGAGTGGGGGGGGGGTCTTTATAAATGTCCTTTTTCTCAGTAATTTTCTGTGTCCAACTTTAGGTATGTCCATTTTTTTTCCATGGGAGTGATTTTTTGACACAAATTGGAGTTAACAAGTTAGGGTGTCTAATCTGGAGTGTCTAATCTATGGAGGGTGTTAAGGGGAGGGAAGATGGGGGAAGTGGGTAAAGGGGGAAGCAGGAGGGGGGGCACTTAGCCACCAATTATAGATAAGGGTTAAAGGTTAAGCCAATTTATATCTTTTTTTTGGGGGGGACGACAATTTTATGAGTCAATCCAGATGAGGGGGAGGACAAGGGGTAGTCAAGGGGAAGGCATGGGGGAGGGCAAGGAGGTTATCAAGGGGGAAAGCAAAGGGGAGACAAGGAGGATATCAAGGGAAACAAGTAAGAGACAAGAGGAAGGCTAGGGACTAGACAAGGGGGAGGCAAGGGGGGAAGACAAAGGGGTTCTAAACTTTGATTGCATTTTCTGGCAATTTTAATGTAACTTAACCACAGTAACCTAACCAAACCTAACCCTGGAGCAATTGTGTTAAGTTGTACCTAACCAAACCAAACCCTGGAGCAATTGTGTTAAGTTGTACCTAACCAAACCTAACCCTGGAGCAATTGTGTTAAGTTGTACCTAACCAAACCTAACCCTGGAGCAATTGTGTTAAGTTGTACCTAACCTAACCAAACCCTGGAGCAATTGTGTTAAGTTGTACCTAACCAAACCAAACCCTGGAGCAATTGTGTTAAGTTGTACCTAACCTAACCAAACCAAACCCTGGAGCAATTGTATTAAGTTGTACCTAACCAAACCAAATGATCAAGACAATGGTAGCAACAATTCCCCATCAATCTGTTAACTTCTTATCAATTTTCCAGGTTCGTATATCATGTGTTTTCATTTGACACTTAATAACCCTTTTATAGGATTTAATAGCATATGTCTTTCTTCCATAGGGCAGTCTAAAAGACCCTGTGTATCTAATAGAACTAATAGAAATAATATGGTGTTCCTATTAAAACCTTCATTTACTGGATATCAATCTAATAGGTGTAGTCCATTATAAAGAGGTTTCACATCTAACAGATCTTGATATAATGAACTACTATCCCATTTAGTCTGTTATATAGAGGTTTCACATCTAATAGACCTTGATATAATGAACTACTATCCCATTTAGTCTGTTATATAGAGGTTTCACATCTAATAGACCTTGATATAATGAACTATCCCATTTAGTCCATTATAAAGAGGACTTCACATCTAATAGACCTTGATATAATGACTACTATCCCATTTAATGTTAAAGAAGTTTCACATCTAATGGACCTTGACATAATGGAATAAACCCCTCCATAGAGTCCTTTAAATAGAGGTCTCTGTTATATACAGTTTTATATATACTGTATCTTACTCTACGTACAGTAAATATTGGAAGCGGACACCGTTAACAATGTTTACAGTACAATTACTCAAAAAACTATCTTAGGGTCGATGAATTTTTGAATGAACACTGTGACTCCTGCTGTCTAGGAAGTGTTGTCAAATTTCCTCATTCATTTTGTCATATTTTTCAACACAATTTTGTAGTTTTTTTTGTGTGATTGTGTATAGATCAAGGTATATAATATAGGTATAACAAGGTGTGACTATATTGTTAATTGATAGGTGTACTGTATAGTTTATATATTTCACTATAGCCCACTACACAGTGGTCAAACTTTTGTACAACTCAATTAGCCCAACATTGTAACCTAACAAACCTAAATTTAAATAATATACAGGTTGACAACCCTTTATCCGAAATTCCGAAAACCGAAAGTTTTTTTTTTTTTTTTTTTTTTTTTTAAACAGGGATTAGCCCACCCGGGCATAGATCACTGACCCACATCAGGGCCTGGGGGGCGAAAATGTAACAGTAATAATAATTATTCATAGTAAATAAATTTTTTTATAAAAATACACCAAAATAAAATAATATAACATTAATAATAATAATATATAATAATAAAATTAATAAAAATAACAATAATACAGGAGTACTGTAATAATAAAATAATAATAATAATAATAATCATAAAGAAATACAAGAATGAAAAAAAGATCAAAAGTGAGAAACACGACCTAGACCTATGAATTATTATTATCATAATTTTTATTATATTTTCGTTCCCCCAGACCCTGATGTGGGTCAGTGATCTATGCCCGGGTGGGCTAATACACACATTAAAAAAAAATAAATAAATAACCATTCTGAAAACCGAAAAATTCCGAAATCCGAAATTCCTCTGGCCCCAAAGATTTCGGATAAGGGATTGTCAACCTGTAACTTCATCTGAAGAGAATAATTACATAGTTATATATATCCCAACAATGTGAGGTAAGACATGAATAACTAGCAAATTTGTGGAAATAGTACTAATATACAGATTCTACACAGGTGTACATCTACAGCAATTCACTACTGTACTAGAATCTATTACTACCTACAGCAAAAGTAGTACTGTACACCCCTACTCGAGTACTGTGCTATATCTACATGAAAGAGCTACAGTAGTACTAATGAATTAAAAACCTTGATTTACTGTACATCTGAGGACATTGCTAGCAGGGAGATGGTGGTCCAATATCTGCACTTATAACCTAGACCAGACATGCAGTTGGGAACAGGAGTGCAGAAGTGGTATCTGTTGGTATCTATCCCCCTCAACCTGTCAAAGATATACCCTTGTGATATGATGGTCATCTTTGTTGTTTTGCTTGGGGAGAGAGAGAGAAAGAGACAGAAATAGAGAGGGAGAGAGAGACAGAGAAAGAGTGAGGACAGGGAGAGACACCTGGCCTAGGGGAGCAAAGAAATAAAGAGTAAAAAGAAATTTAAAAAAAGGAAAGAAAAAGATTACAGTATATTAATTTACACCGCAAAGATGCCAGAAAACCAGCTTTTTGAAGTGAGACAGATTGTATGAGTATGGAAACACAGAAGGTCAGAGCAATCCACAGGTTGTCTGTGTGAGGAAAGAAGGATGTGAAACATAAGGTTTAAAATTTTCTAAAACATTCATCACTGTCTTAAACCCTTCACTACGGGGACGCCATTTTTTATATCTGGGTAACGCCGGAAGATTTGATTCATCTCTGAGGCGCCTCCGTACACAAGGGGTTAAGACAGAGTTTACGTGTGGAAGGAACACAAAACATCAAGAGTAACATATATATATATATCATAGCCTCGCACACCGCAACGGTATATGAGGTATAATCTGATCAACGCCAGAGACACGAAGAAAATATCACACTAGGGGTCATTACCAAACTCGCGTCATATATTTAAATTCTTTTTTTTATTTTTTTTATTGTTTTTAAGAGCTTATAGTTGACTTAGGTTACAGCAGTAAGCTATGGAACAGGATAGGTGATCATAGCATATATTCTACACTCAACTTGGCATGATTCCAACACAATGACCCCAAAAAAATATGTAGTAATAATAATAACAAAGAGTTCTACCTAAACCTTACAGTACATGAGCGTTGTCAACATCAGAATGAAGAAACCAATAAATGTAATGCATCATTTAATGACACACACACTCACACACACAAAACTCTGGGAAATTTATTATGAGCGTCATGAGCGTCAAAGTAATTAATTAATTAATAAAAAAATAATAATAATAACACACCTTTTTGTACTTTTTTATGGGCCAATCAAAATAATCAAGGTAACAGACACAATATTAAATGCAACCGTGTGTGTTAATATTAAACAACGAAGGAAACAAGAAGCTACACCATTTTATTTGGCTAATGCGTATCTGGGAAAAAAAATTCTAAAAAAAAAATAAAGTCAAAATACAAACTCATTTTTGTCCCACTTAATATTCCATAATAAATAATTTCATCTACACTAATTAAAAAAATAATAATAATAAAAAAAGTAAAAATATAAACTTATTTTTGTCCCTCTTAATATTCGATAATAGTTTCATCTACACTAATTTAAAAAATAATAATAATAAAAGTCAAAATGAAACTTATCTTGCCAGAGCAAAGTCGCCGAGTCATATTCACTACTGTGTGTATTTTGCAAATTTCGAGAATAAATTGTGGCACCGTTTGGATTATATCACAAAACCATTATGATGTAAATCTTACATCTGGCATCTGACGACTCCATAGGTTCGCACGTTGACCCCCCCCCCCCCACTATATCTATCTGTCTGTCTAGCGGAGGAGGGTGAATGGATGATGTGGATGAAGGAAGAGTATCTCTCTATGTCAGCCAGTCATCCGGCAGCACTGTGGGCAAAGTTTCTGAGATCAGGGAATTAATTGTCCTTTTATTTTGACTCCTCTCTAGGGTAATGATATCACTATGGAAGGAAATAATGATGGGAGATGCAAGACTAAATGATGATAGCAATGAATGATGGTTGTAGTAGTGAGGAAAGTTACAAGACAATTGATGGCAGCAACATGAGATTAGTAGCAGTAGTAGTAGTAGTAGTAGTAGTAGTAGTAGTAGTAGTAGTATAATTCTGTACCTAATGAGCTCACTTGCGCAATGGACCAGACAAGATGGAACACAACGGTTTGAAAAATAAAAAATAATAATAAAAAATACCTTTGCACCGGCTCTCTAGACACACGTCACGTCGACCTGAATTAGGGGCGAGGGATACACCAAACGTGCGAACCTCAGGGGTGCCGAGATCCTTGGTACATTCCCTAAAATGGTGCATCCTCTGTCCTGACACAAGCCCTTGTCACCCTCCCTCCCTCCCTCCCCCTACCCCCTCTGCCAGAAGCATCATCACTGCTACCCAATACATTAATAATTACCAAACAACTATTTACAACCGGGAAGGAAGGCCGACTCCCTCCGCCACTTCCCACACGCATTATACCACCGCCCAATACAGGTTAACAACTACGGGATGAGAAGCAATATGTAGCATCAAGAACCACTGCAGATAAAAAAAGGCAAATAAAATCTATTAGAAAAATTCGCCAAATAGACACGTAAACGCCTACAAACATTAGAAAAATAAACCTAGAAAGTAATCAACCTCTCCGAACATCATGAAAAACACTCCCACGCCTCAATAACGTCAATTGTCGAGATATCTGGTGAAAATGAGCACCTACGATAGCCTTACTTTTCGGTACGTACGACGATGACGAAGATGAAATTTGGTTAAATATCCTTATTGTATTTAGTCTCGGGAGCGACGCATTCATGCAGGATAAACAAGAACAGTTATACCCATTGTTATTTTTTTTTTCTGATAGGACTGGATCAGGAATTGTGTTCCTCATAAAGTACTTCAATAAGGCTTATCTTTTATATAAATTGAATAGGAAATTGAGCTTTGCTGAGGTACTCACTAAGGCACAAACCTCTGACCAAGTCGAATTACCATACATCCCCAGCAGATTAAGTGACTATAAGTGGTTCTTCTTAAATGGCATGTAGAAGGTGACTGATCAAGTGCCCTCCTAGTCAAGTGGTTTATCATAAGTGATATATAGGAGGTGACTGCTTAAGTGCTCCCCTAGTGGTTCATCTTAAGTGGCATTTAGAAGATAACTGATCAAGTGCCCTCCTAATCAAGTGGTTCATCTTGAGACATCTTCAACAGGCATTAATAAGGCCCTATTAGCTTACAACCTAACCTAACCATATGGATTGGAGTCTAATCTTCATAGGCTTCATTACACCTCATCTAATCATGTTTAGATTAGGTTTGGGATCGGATCTATTTGGAGGCTGCCACCTATTAGCGCTGGGAGACCTTCCACCCTGCAGCAACTAATTCAACATCACTCTAAAGGTAATAATTGAAGCGTCATTAAGCTGCAATTGATGAAATATTGAGTTGTCAGTGAATGTGAATGATGGAAATCTGCTGGGAATGTCAGACGGCCGACCCACGCATCACGTCAGCCACTCATCAAGCGAAGTCAAGTGTCAAATCATCTGCCCACAACAACTAAGCAGAAGTCACATTCAAGTGCTCGCAGCTAAGCGGAAATCACACTCCTTCACGCTCATTCACTCTCCTCGCAGCTAAAAGCAAAGTGCCCAACAACTTTCAGCTCAGCAGACATCCCATTCTCCTTCACTAAGGTAAAGTGACTATCCACCTGTCACTGCTCAACAGACAATGAATTCCTCTTCAGGTTCACTCAATTTCCTCACAATGAAATCTCCATTCATTTAAGAGCTGCTTAAGTGATAAAGGGTAGCAGCAACTAGTCATTTAGAATATGTGTTAATATTCTACATATATTATATTTACATGACCAAAACAAATCTTGTGTGTAACTTAATAATCCACTTATTGATATTTATTAAATATGTAGTGCCATATTCAATACTGGTTAATGAGTAAACAATCCAATATGTACAAATATATATATATATATATACTTCACTCTCTCTTACCCTAAACAACTCCCTCTTCAGCAAGAAAGAGAGATAGGTTAAGTATTGTGGGTGATCGCGCGAGCTCTTAAGACTGGGTAGAATTTCTCTCCAAGAGCAAGCGGTCAGCATAACCAGTCAACATCATTTAGCGAAACACAGTTGGCTTCACCTATCTGGAATTACACTTCAAGAGGGTTTGTATTATTTCTTCTTCCAATCCTTCCTTAAGCCACTAAAAAAATAAACATTTACTTAAGTTTGTGAAATGTTATGTATAAGATAAATCCAATAGACTGAACGAACACAAGTAACAAGTTTTCAACCCTTCTGCACACAATGAAGAAAATCCTAACGTACAATTATCTCACTGTTGTGTTGCCCCAATGAGCCTCTGCGGACTTGAGTTTAATGATCATTCCTAGACAACGGGAACCCGAGTCGGCTCACAGTCCTCAAACACAGACGCGTCGTCTCTCGCCCGCAGAATCCTAACTAGAAGTGCTCGGCGACTTAGGAACAGGAACCGGAGCAGTGTGGGGAATTGTCTTTGGGGCGGCGACAGTCCTCGATGACTTGGTCGCCTCCGACGTCACTCTCGCTATAGTACTGTCCGATTTAACCGTCTCGGTTTTGGCATTGGCATTCACTCTGTTAGTTTTGGCCACCGAGGGTTTAGAGGTTTCCGTTTTCTTTGCGGATTCTTGTTTCTGTGCCTCTGACTTGGTCTTGGCTTGAGTGGAACCTTTGCTGTTGTCTGTGGCCTTCTGCTGCGACTGTGTCTTGGCAGCGGACGTGGGGTTGGTCTTGTACTGTGTTGTCTTGGGTTTTCTGTAATTACCACTGTTGTCCGCTCTCAACCACTGCATCTGTCCACTAGAGTGTCGACTTCTGGAACCACCGCCCTGTGAAATGCAAGGTAGTGTTACTTATAGCTTGGGGGAGGTGTGGTGAGGTGGGGGGTAGACTGCCACTAATAATGACAAACATCTTCAAAGTTAACAAGTGAGAGCCATACTACGGGGTGGGTAAGTTGAGGAGATCTACAGGGTCACATCAACGCTAAAATGGCGAACTTGAAAATTTTTTGTTCTTATGAGACATTGCAATTTAAGGGTTAAAAAATGGCCCTTATCATATGATGGTCACTGGAGATATTAGGTTATAAAATGTAGAATGTCGTACACTCACCCTGGCATAATCTCCTGAGCTGTTGCGGACTCTTGTGTGTTGGTGGTGGTGATTGTCTGCCTGATGAGGGTTGCCGTCACCCTCCGAGGCGCGGCGCTGGCGTCGTCTGACTCCTCCACCGTAGCCGTGTCTCTGGTAGCCGTCGTGGTTGGCTATCATCATGCTCTCGTTCTCTGATCTTGTGCGTATACGAGCCTTTCTGGCTTCCCGCGCTGCGTCGTATTCCTCCGGCTGTGAGAGACGGGAATTGTATTTCATATTCAACCGTTTCAAAGGTTCTTAATAAAAAAAAAAATAATCAATTGACGATAACCAACCTTTGTTTATTTCTCTTTTAGGTCAACCACCCTTAATCTTACCACCTAACCTAACCCACCAGGCAGCATTAGGATTGTTAATAAGCTGGGGCATCTAATTTTCAGGTAAATAAGCTGGGTTATGTAATCTTCAGAAGATCCTAAAATAACAAAGTACAAAATTATGTATAAATTGAAAAGTGAAAGTAGGTCCCACAGGGAAGTTTACCCATTAGGTACAGTGTGGATACAGCCAACACTATAATGAACCTCCGGTACAGTAGCAGGCAGCATGGTCGGTACTGCACTCGACTGTATTCCCTCCCCTATGCTGTAAACTTAGGTACCCATTAACACCTGGGTGAACAGGGACCACCCAGGAATTGAACTACACACCCCTGGTACATGAGGCGAGAGCTGTATTCACTCGACCATTGGGCTCCCAGAAAAGAATATAAATGCATCCAATCCATAAGGCAAAATTTAACCACTTTATACCATTTTTTTTAAAGTATTATACCTAAAAAATACATCAAATTTATCTACTATGAAGTATTGAGCCTGAAAAATAAATAAAGTATAAACCAAAATATTCATACCATTTCCACTCTGAAGTCCTCGATACTTTTATACTTTGAGAGCCTATCCTTGAGCTTGTCTTGCACGAGAAGATTAACGCTATTTTTGTAGTACTTGATAAACGCCCAGAATTTTTCCAGACCATAGAGTTGGCCACAGTCAATGTCACGTAACGTCTCCTCTTGGAAGTCGTTGTAGATTTCGTCCCTAAAGTGTTTCTCCAGACCGTAGCTGTAGAACCGGAAGAGGCACTCCAGACCATACCTATCGAGGGAGGCATTATTAATATTACTTCAGGTGAGGAACTCTGACTGTACCTATCAAGAAGGGAGGCATTAAGATTACTCACCTTCAGAAGAGGAAAATTGTGAGGTAGAAATATACATCAAGAGTAAAATTACCAACCTTCACTGATGTTTCCTTTGCTAAAACATTCCCAGCACATATTGATAAAATGTAATCCACGAACATATATATATATATATATACCCCATGGAAGGAAGTTTAACAAAGTGTCGAGAGAATTTTGGCGACCAGTTCACGGTGAAGCGTCATCTAGTACCAAGAAACACGCTCCAAGAAGTATCTTTACGGAAGTGTCAGATGAATTCTAAAACGAACGCCGTGACTCACATTGTCTCGGTGGGGCCGTCAATATCCTCTGTCTGTGATTCCATTGTGTTGTATCGCCTCACACAAAATAGTAATGGCATTTTTTTTTAGCATGTGTATGTAAGTTGAAACACACAAAATCGCAATGATACTTCTTTGGGACCATGTGTACAGAAGTCAAAACATCCATTAAACATATCCACCCCAAAGCAGAGTCTCGGTGGTCAGTTCACGGCAAAACGTCAACTCACCTGTACCCGACTTTGGCATCTTCGTTAGCTAATCTCTTGAACTCTTCATACATCTTGCGGTTGAAGTGTTCTCGGAGGAAGAATGACCAGAAGCGGTACAGGGTGTTCATCTCGGCACTCTGTCCGATGCCGAGTCTCTTACGTTCTGGAATATAACAAATACATAATAACAAATACTCTTAAAACAACAAATACAAAACAATAATTATTAATCTCTTCAAATAACAAACACAATCTAATACTCATACTCTTTAAGAATGACAAATACAGTCATTATTCTTCTTGATAATTGACACATATTAAATACTAACTTTAGTCATTACAATATAGAGGGGTGCTCAACTATAACAAGGGGCTCTCAACTATCCCACCTCACCCCATACACGACCAAAACACTCACCTTTTAAGCACCGTGCTCGGTACTTGTGGTAAACCTGTTGTGTGAAGCCGTTTTCCTTGAGGAGTGAGTGTGAAGGGTGCTGGAAGGTCGGTAACGAGCCCGGTAACGATCCGTACGACCCGTAATTGCTGCCAAAACTACTCGCGAGTTGGTTCTCGTTCGGACTTGCGTTTAGATCACTGTGGGCGACAAGAATGAGGTGGACTGTTAGTAAATCAAACCAACGAGGAAACTATCACTCTAATGTCAGGTGAACCTTGACCTCTAATAAGAAACACATCTACTCTATGCTAAAAAAAGACAATCGTCTATCCATCAATCAATCTATCTATCATCCTATCTTAATATCTATCCATCTATCACCCTCACCTGACAGAGTTTGTGCGTGGTTTGTGTTCTATGGAGTCCATCACCCAGCCGACGTGACACTCGACGGGGGGGTTGTGGGAGTGGCGGGTCTTCTTCTTGCGTGGCGTCCGCTGGTCCACGTTGGCCTTGTCTTTCACCACCGGGAAGAACCGCGCCGCCTTACGAGATCTGGGCGTCTTGGGCGTCGGAGGCACTACGTCTTCGAAGGGATCCTCAGCGCCCTTGATTGGAGAGTTTAGAGGTTAGTAAAATAATAATAATAAAATGCATACACTTACACTCTCTCTCTCTCTCTCTCTCTCTCTCACACAAACACACTCATTCACACAGTCTCTCCATCTCACACACATATTCTCATTCACACACACACTCTTTCTCACACACTTAAATATTATCAGTAAGGAATACATAACCTCACCTTCACTTAACAAGTAACCAACAACACTCAAACCATCTTATAAGTTACTACAGTACATCATAAGTAAATATATACCAGTGTGTAGAAGTAAGAGAACAGGAGGAAAAGCAAAGGGAGGAATAAGATGGATATTTGAATTAAGAGGAAGAATATTAACTCTAGAAGGGGATGCCATTTTTTTTTATTTGGCTAATGTTAGATGATTTTATTCAACTCAGAGGAGACCCCATAACTCCTTAAAATAAAGTGTTGCCTACAGCGTTTTATATAAAGGCAAAATTTCTGAGTATATTTACACACACAAAAGACTTATCCCCATCATATAACACAGGTGTCATGTCAGCCTCCCTCAGTGAATCAAACAACAGTATACCTCAATAATAAAAGGACCCATCATCGCAATTTATGGTTACGTATAATCTTGTTTAAATACATTGCTGTTAAGATAAGTTAAATTCAAAGTAAAATTATGTTAGATTGTAGGGTAAACGATGATTGAAAGGATAAACATGGGGTAATATTATGGGATACTGTGTTAATTCTCCATTTTAGTGGAGAACAGCTGCAAGGGTTGAGGACACAGGAGTACGCAAAACCTCACCTCAGTCTAGAAACTAATTATTGTACGTACACACACTGAAGGCATCTTTACGGAGGGGTCAGACGAATTTCAAAATGAACACTTCGACTCTTGTTGTCTCGGCGGGGCCGTCAAAATCCTTCATCCGTTGTTATATTGCCTCGCACAAAATCATGATACTGTTTAGAGCAATTGTACCTAACTTTCATAGTTCCTGTAGACGAGCCATGGACACAAATATTTACATCCTCGAACTAATTTGTGGAATACAATGTCATGACAGCTGTAAGATTTGAGGATAGTCAGCAATACATCACCTCAACCTAAATACTAATCACTGAAATGACTCCTTTAAGTAGACATGAATCCTGACAACAATAATATATAAACTGGAACATATTGATGGAATACTAAGGAATAACGCTCGCTATCTCATCCAGGATCAAGACAAATTTCCGGAGAAAGTTGACTGATCTTGAAACTGAGCTAGGACGCTGGTGCTCTGAAAACCTCAAGTGAGATCAACAATAACCATTATTCCGCAGGCTAAAAATGACATCAGGCAATTAATAACAATGGAAAAAAATCAAGCTAAAAATGACATCACGTAGTTAATACCACTAGAATGAGTTTAAGTGACATCATGTACATAAATACAAGAGAGAGACATCAGGCAACAGGCAAACATTACCCCACAAGCTTAAGTGACATCACGTTCTTAATACCAACAGAGCGAGACATCAGGCAAACATTACCCAACTAGCTAAAATGACATCACGTACTGAACAACAATGGAGTGAAGCATCGGGCAACATATATACATAACCCCACGAGCTACAGGTGACACCAGCATCACCACCCTCCCTGCCTGCCTTTGTTTACCTCGACAGGAGACAAAAGCACAGAGTTAAGAGGATGCGGTACGTAAGAGTCACGAGGAAAGCACGACAGTCACCCTCAACGGCCAAAAGTGCAGCACGTACAGGGAGGAGGAGCAAGAAGCAGGAGGGGAGACAAGCTTGTTAGCGTACCTGGAGGAGGTGTAGGGGAGGGGGAGGGGGAGGGACCTCTTGGTTAGCTGGGACAGGTGGGTGGTGGGGTTGTAGGGTCTCCATCACCTCTTGGCTGATCATCGTCACCTGTTGAGTCATAGCTGCCTTGTTGCTGTCAGACTGAGGGAACTGCGGAGGGAGAAATAACATTGTTTTAAATTAATTCTTTATAACTGAGGGTGGAAAAATAATGGCTTTAAAATTAATTCTATGTGTTAATTGTTCTTTAAACATATTACTTGAAGGAATTATTGGTGGAAACATAACTGAGAACTGTAGTGGAAAATAATATCTTGGAGTGATAAAAAAGTTAGGTTAAAAACTCAAATACTGAGGATAATATAATGTTTGGTGTACAGATAGAGACAATAATGAAGGATCAACACCACCAAGAACTCACCCACTCACTGTCCTCCCACAAGTCCTGTTCATAATAGTAGAGTCCATCATTGATAACTTTGGCCAGTTCTTGAGTTATTTTGGTGCGAGTCGTCCAGTCTCCGGTGCGGTCAAATCCTCCGTGTTTGGGAGGACGAGAGCCGGTAGTGGACGTGGATGTGGACGTGGAAGAGGCGCTCGACGACGGTCCCGGAGCTCCGGCAGACGGCGGCGACTGTGTCACTATCAACAGTTTATTTACATCTTGGTCACTGATCTCGTAGTCACTCTCGTCGTCCGACCTGAGGAAGCCATCACTCATTAAAATATTGTACAACCATTTAAGATCACCTGAAAATTAACCACCCCAGGTAGTTGTCAAGAAGATTAACCACCCTGATGCTAACCTAACCTCACCTAATCTCACAAATTTAAACCAACAATGATGACCTAATATAACCTGATCTGACCTGACCTATCCAAAACAAATATGACAATTACCGTGACAAATAAAATAAACATAATATTTCTACCGATGATGACCACCATCCCTACAGCAATCATCCACTAACGATGGCCCTCATTCAACCAATCGCCACACAGTACCCGGACTCACCATTCGCTGAAATCGTGATGTCGTCCGGTCTTAGGCAGAATCTCCAGCTCCTCGTCGAACTGGAAATCCAACTCCTCCCGGGTGTCCTTACTGAAGCCCTGAGGTTCCTGGGATGCTGCACGGCTCTTCCTGTCATTGGTTGGCTTCTCCGACGACGGGTCCTGAGGCTGCCGTGGGTCCTTCTCCTTACTTTCGTTCTCTCTTCTTAGGCGGCCCTTACTCTTGACCTGAGGCGTGAGAGAAGGACGCATCGTCTACAGTGCTACGTAGGTGATGTAAACAAAATAAACAAGGTTCTATATACATTATCGGTGATCGTAACTACCAATACCGTGACGGGTAATTTAAAAAAAGGTGATTTATACAGACGGTGATTGTTAATTCCCTGTGTGCACCTACAATAACTAGCAATAAATAACAATAATCAGCAATAACTAACAATAACTCGCAATAACTACTAATACAATCACTGGTAATCAAAAAAGGTGATTGTTAAGCTCTGTGCACCTACAATAAATAACAATACTATCACCATCTGTTCTATAATCTATAAAAAAAAGTTCGATACACCACAACTTAAACTCTCTCTGTCGCTTCAAACGCCAATATTCGCTTCACTCTGTCCTCACCCCAGCACCAAAATTCACTTCACTTTCTCCTCACCCCAGCACCAGGACTCACCTCTCTCTCCTCGCCCCAACACCACTCAATTCAATTTCTCCTCACCTCAGCACTCACTTCACTCTCCTCACCCCAGCACCAAGACTCACTTCACTCTCTCCTCACCTCAGCAGCAAGACTCACTTCACTCTCTCCTCACCCTAACACCACTCACTTCACTCTCTCCTCACCCTAACACCACTCACTTCACTCTCTCCTCACCCTAACACCACTCACTTCACTCTCCTCACCCCAGCACCAAGACTCACTTCACTCTCTCCTCACCCTAACACCACTCACTTCACTCTCTCCTCACCTCAGCAGCAAGACTCACTTCACTCTCCTCACACTTACCTCCTTCCAATCATCATCCTTCTTAGCTGCCTTGGTATCCTCTTTACCTGAAATTAATTAAGTTTCAATTATCACCAAAATCTAATTAATTTACTCACCCCAATTAATTTACTCTTTAATTAATTTACTCACTAGCTAATTTACTCTCTAACTAATTTACTCACCCCAATTAATTTACTCTTTAATTAATTTACTCACTAGCTAATTTACTCTCTAACTAATTTACTCACTCCAATTAATTTTCACTAATGGCAATTATTTTACACCGACTCAAATATCAATTTACACCAACATGAATTAATTTACTTACATGAATTAATTTATACTGATATGAATGTTAATTTACAGATAATTTACACAACAACATTAATTACTTTACAAACTTGGGTATTAATTTACACTGACTAGTATAATTATCACTTGAATTAATTTACACTATTTTGAATAATAATTAACACTAACACTAATCAATTTACACTGACTTGGACTATTAGTGATGGTGACGGTGGGGGGAGTGGTTGTGGTTGTGGTGGCGGCGGTTGTGGTGGTGGTGGTGGTAGTGGTGGTGGGTTTGGCGGTGACTACTTGTTGGTCCAATGGAATGAATTCAGGTTGGCCGGGGTCTAGCTCTGCTTGGTGCGGGGTGAACTCTGCCACTTCGGGGTTCATGGCTGTAGGCGGGGGCGGGGGTGAAGGTACGTCTGGCGGGGCGGGGTCCTTGGGAAGGCTGGTAGGGGGGGCGTTGGTCGGGGATGGAGTGACGGTCGAAGGAACCGCCGCCAGGAGTGCTTGTAGTGCCCCTGCTGCAGCGTCCTCCAGGGGCCACTTCATGGGTTCGTGTTTAGTCCGTAACTGTGGACGAATTATGTCAACGTTAGCGATACGACAGTCGATATTCAGCGAGGTTTTATCCCGTCCCCTTTATTTACCACACACACACACACATGCTCTGTCCTCCCCACCCACACCCCTCCCCTCACACACACCCTTTTCCCCACCCACACCCCTCCCCTCACACACACCCTTTCCCCCCACAATCACCTCTTCCCCCACACAACAACAAACAACTCACCCAGACTTCATCTTTCACTTCGAGTTTCTCTGACGTCTTACAAACATCTACGATCAGCTTGACGTCTTGGGTGAGCTGCTTCATGCGGTTGAACGATGCGATGAGGGAGACGGGAATATAGCCGTCTTTGGACATCTTCCTCCTCATGAAGATGTCGTTGGCTAGGTTGTCGCCGCTGAAGTAATATTCTCTGTAACGAAAACAAAAACAAAGTCACGTATATATCCATCTGTGTGTGTGTGTGTAAAGATGGAATGTGAGTATTATGTCGAGTTTTCATTATAAATGTTCGACACAGGCGGACACAGTGAGACAGACAGACAAAAAGACAAAGAAACAGACAGATAGACAGACAGAGAGAGTGACATGCAGATACAATGAGAAAGAGAGACACACTGAGACACACAAACAGACAGAAAAAACAGAGAAAAACATCCAGAAAGAGACAGACACAAACACATCTACTAAACAACACCTCGTCAATACTCACACTTGTTTCTTTATTTTATCCTTAATTGCACTTTCATCCTGAAGAACAAACTCTGGGAAGATGAACCCAACCGACGGCACAAAGTACTGCATCAAGTTGGAGTCGTGAAGAACATAATCTGGAATCTGGAAACCACGTCGTTAACAGTGCGTAAACGGGCGATTAGGGCGGATAAATTGACCCGTATTAGAGTCATAAGAGAAGATTTAGATGTTAATTAACTCTTAAATGGTGATTAAGAATTCCCTATCTGTCCCATTGTGTAGAAATATGGAGTGAAATAAATATACTGTATGGCCATCGGTGTTAGCTCTTGTCCCGAAAGGTCATTTCTACTGACGATGGCCGCCATTTAAGAGTTATTAAGGCTTAAAATTAGTTCAAGGAAAACAAAAACATCGCGAAGGTTAACTAGAGGAAATACGTCGGTAAATTCTCACCTCAGAATACTCGGAGAAATTCTCAAAGTGCTCGGCCGAGGGACTTCTGTACCCGCCTCTCATGCCCAATTGGCCTCCCCCTGCAATCAAGCTACCTCCTCGGCCTCCTCCTCTCCCTCTACCTCGCCCTCTCATGATGTTGCCGCGTCCAGTCCCGCGTCCTCTCAAGGCACCGTTGGTCGACCGGGCGTCCGCTCTCCAGTCGAGGGAGTCCGAGCCGCGGCCCTCTGTACGTCTGAACCCTTTCTCTCTCTTTGGGGGCGGGATGTCTAGTCTCTTCCAGGTGTTAATTTTTTCTGGAAACAAAGACACAGTTACTTATATATGAGAAGACAAGGAGGGAGTGGGAGGGAGAGTGGAAAGAAGGAAGGGGGGGTGGAAGGAAGGGAGGGAGGGGAGTGGAAGGATGGGAGGGAGGGGAGTGGAAGGATGGGAGGGAGAGTGGAAGGATGGGAGGGAGGGGAGTGGAAGGAAGGGAGGGAGAGTGGAAAGAAGGAAGGGGGGGTGGAAGGAAGGGAGGGAGGGGAGTGGAAGGATGGGAGGGAGGGGAGTGGAAGGATGGGAGGGAGGGGAGTGGAAGGATGGGAGGGAGGGGAGTGGAAGGAAGGGAGGGAGAGTGGAAAGAAGGGAGGGAGAGTGGAAGGAAAGGAGGGAGAGTAGAAGGAAGGGATGGACAGATAGTGTGTGGAAGGGATGGAGGAAGGTATAGATGGAGAGAGTGGAAGGGAGGGAGAAAGACCAGAAAGGAGAGAATACAAAATACAAACTAAAAACAAAAGAATAACAATAACAAACTAACTACCAATTTCTGTAATGTCATCTCCCCAACTGTGTGACTGACTGACTTTCATCTCAACTTCCATATTCACCTCCACCTCAACCTCCTCCTCCTCCTTGACCTCTTCCTCCATCTTAACCTCTACCTCCAGATCATAGGTACAGTACATCTCTTGTATCTATCATCGCTACTTTGGTACAACTTCTATGTGGGGTCAGTTCAATGGGGTCCTCTCTCTATCCTCTTTCTCTCTCTCTATCCTCCTTTTTCTCTCTCTCTCTCCTCTCCCTCACACACACAAACACAAAAAAACACTTACTTTTATTCTTCTTGTTTTTAGCAGCCTTAGTGGGAGTATTATTGTGTGTCTGCTGGATCTTGTTGTTGATGGTCTGCGGTGCGGACGACGCCTCCCGGTTCTCCTTCAGAGAGTCGTCGTCGTGAGAACCGGAGTCCTCGGATTTCTCTATCTCTCTCATCCCGTCGTCTTTCTCTCCATCCTTCAGTTTCCTCTCCTCGCTCTTTCTCCATTCTGACTTTGACGTCTGTAAGAAAAATGACACAGTGAGCGACGTAATTCTTCATCCAGGCATCTATACACCCACCTACACTGACTGTACTGTATATACTGCACTCTTAATAACACAGTATAAATAACAACAACAAAGACACAATAAGCGATATAAATATTCTCCTCACATCTATACACCACCCTAACTTACCATATACACAATACTCCCAACAAATTCAATTCAACTAATACCATATTCACTAAATAAAGGACAAAAAAGGACAAAATAACAAAAGAAGCAATATTGTAGGCCAAACACAGATACATACCAGTACCCACCTGTGAATAATTAGTGTTTTGCACCTGTACTGAATTAATGGACTTGAGTGTGATTTTATATATATTCTGACAGGTTTAATTTGTCTATTAATTATCTCTAGTTATTGTTCTTTCTATTTCTAACTGCTTAACTATCTCTCTATCTATCTATCTACAGTAAAAACCTCATCTAACGAACTACTGTGTATAGATGAATGTCCATTATATCGAGGGTCCGTTGAATATGAAACCCCCATCTAATGGACTAAATGGAGAGAAGTTCATTATATGGAGGTTTCAACTTTTCCATCCATGGCGAACCGACACGAAACATTAATGAATCATCGTATGGGTTTAGGATTCGCTTGTGGCGCTTGTATGGCCAAGTGTGTGTGTGTGTGTGCGCAGAACGGGATTGAAAATAATAATAATAAAGTGAGCATATGCGAGCGAGTGATGCGAGACAGAATGAGGCGAGAGATTCTGAGGACGAAGTGGAGGAATGACTCGAGAGATTCCGAGGAGGAGATGGAGGAAAAAATCAAAGGTGGAAGGAGACGATTATTAGAGAATGGTGTTGGTATGCTAGGGTGATATGCTGGGGTGGTGTGCTGGGGTGATGTGCTGGGATGTGCTCAAGATCAAGACAGCTCAGTGAAGAAAAAAAAAACACTTACTGAATACAAAAATACAGAGATACCTCTTCCATTTAACAGGCTGTATATAGTGATTCAAGTCCCACTTTAGTCGCATACATAGAAAACACTGCCAAGACCCGCCTCACCATGCCTGTGTGACACCCAACATTCCAACCAGTTTATGGCAGTTTCAACAAGAGACACGTGATAAAAGGCATAAATAAATAGGCCATGCTGAGATGTTCTATTGGGGGAGGACCAATCAGAATGCAGCAAGAGATTCTTTAATACATTACCGATAGGAGAGAAATAGTCTGAAGAGGAAGGACCAATCAGAATGCAGCGAGGTCTTGAAAACATTACCGATAGGGGGAGAGAAATGTTCTTAAGAGGAAAGACCAATCAGAATACAGCGAGAAGGTCTTTAAAACATTACAGAACTGAGAAAGGAAGTGAAATATCCTTCGAGGGAGGACCAATCATAATGCAGCAAGCGAGTCTTTAATACATTACCGATAGGAGAGAAATAGTCTGAAGAGGAAGGACCAATTAGAATGAAGGAAGCCACCAATTACAACGCAGCGTGACTGTCATAAATACCACCGAGAGACCCTACATCCACCGTATCTAAACAGCATGTGTGGAGCCAAGCATGCAACACGCCCCCCTCCCCAAGCACAATGAAAAACCCCCAGAAAGTAAAAACAAAGGAAAAACCCCAAATTGTTGCCCCGTTCATTTCTACCAATTATGTGGTGTGCCGAGCTGTGTTGTGACCCCGGGGCACTGCTGATTAGGGTATACAGTGCAAGGATACCCCCCCTCACAACCTAACCCGCATAAAACCCTCCCGTGGTCTTTCCCGTACTGGCGCGACCCCTCCCGTTCAGCAGTACCTCTCACTGACAGCGCCCGTCCCGTAAGCAGAAACAGTGGACTGGGCGGCCCTATCAACCACCTATCCTCCTCCTACTAGCCTCGTGACCTGGCAGAAGCATCTCTAAGGGGGTAGTTTGGGTCAGGGTCGTTCTATCCAATGTTTAAGACCTCGGGGGGGGGGGGTCCCAACCATGGCAAGGATTACCAAAGGGGAGTATCAGAGGGAAGTATCAGAGGGAAGTACCAGAGGGAAGTGCCAAAGGGGAGTACCAAAGGGGACTACTGTACCAGAGGGTTAACTGTGTCTACAATTAATAGCAATTTTGTCTATTATTATCATATCTAAAAAAATCCTTGTATACTACTTGCTACATCAACTGCCATCTACTTTTACATCTACTTCCATCTACTGCCATCTACTTTTACATCTACTGCCATCTACTTTTACATCTACTTCCATCTACTTTTACATCTACTGCCATCTACATTTATATCTACTTCCATCTACTTTTACATCTACTGCCATCTACTTTTATATCTACTGCCATCTACTTTTACATCTACTGCCATCTACTTTTATATCTACTTCCATCTACTGCTGTATACTTTATCTACTTCTACATATACAATCATGTATACTTCTACCACCATGTGTAAAGTCAGATCATAAATTATACCGCTCGGTGCGTTGCTTTCCAAACAACACTGCCTCACCCGCCATTCCATTGGGTTTGGTAAGCGTGACTGTGACGTCTTTTCCTTGATTTTTAAATATTTGAATCTTGTCTTTTTTAAATATTTGAATCTTGGTTTTTAAATATTCAAATCGTGGTTTTTTAAAAATTCACAAATCATTTTTCAAAACAAATGAATTCAAACCTCAAACTGGGCAAAACTATATTTATAAAAGTAACCAAAAATCGATTCACATTCAACTTACAATTACATTACACTGAAAGGAGAATTACATTATGAATGACAAGGCTACCATTGTGCAGTCCGACTTGATACGTCAGAACGGAATTTTTTCCCGGTCGGTCGTATTGTTTGGAGGCAGCGAAGTAATTTATGATCTGACTGAACCGTACACCAACCACCGCGTACAGAACAGCAAGAACGGCGTGTACAGTACTGCGTCGTTACCACCAGAACCTACCTGTACACCAACCACCGTGTACAGTACTGCATCGTTACCACCAGAACCTACCTGTAGTAAGTGTATGGCCTCTTGAGCTTGCTGGACCTCCACCAACGTTGGCCAATCAGCTACATCATTGATGCCATCGTCCTGAAACACATCACCTTTATGCAATCTCTTCTCTCTTTCCAACAGGGTGGTAAAAGGCTTGTTATCTCTCTCCCTTCCCTCCCCTATACCTCCCTATCTCCCTCCCTCTCTCACATCACCCAGCTTTCCTTCCTCCCTTCCCATCTCCTTCCTTCACTCCCTATCTCCCTGCTTCCTTCCCTCCCTCCCCTGTCCCCCTCACCCCATCTCCATCCATCCCTATTCCCCAGTCTCCCCCCCATTTCTACTCAATCTCCCTCCCTCCCCATCCAAAAATAACTGCAAGTGACCTGTAACTGCTTCATTAGCCACATCAACACAACAGACTTATTATGTCAATCACAACATTTGTGAAGCATTAATCAGTGGCTAATTGTTCCCTTCTCTGACCCACACACAAGGAACGAAAAATGTCCACTGATGATGGCCACCGTCCCTACAGCTAACTTCTACTGATGATGGCCACCGTCCATACAACTAACTTCCACCAATGATGGCCACCGTCCCTACAACTAACTTCCACCAATGATGGCCACCGTCCCTACAACTAACTTCCACCAATGATGGCCACCGTTTAAACAATAAGATATATGAAACGTTACAGAATTTCTTAAATCAAATTAGCTTTGCATTTTATTTCCAAGTGAATAAATACATATATATATGAAACTGTGTTGGTAGGATGAACAGGTTGACACAGGTATAAAATGAACACAGTATGGAGCAAACAAGTGATAGTCACGGAGAAAAAAAATTGCGTGTAAGAATAAAATCACCTTGGGGTCGAGAATGAATCGTTCTACTGTACAACAAACACAAGATGCGAACGACGAACGACCCTTTGTACATGTATTACTACCGGTGACATTATCGACACAACCAACGAGCCATAAACAATCCTAGCCTTTGTGGATCACCTGAAGATTACCCCCCCCCCCCACATCCAGATAATTTCAGGGTGATAAAACTTCAGAGTGGTTAAGTTAATTTGGAGTGGGGGTCCAATGAGCACTTCGGGAGGGGGGGGGTTAGGAAGGGGGGGTCAAATGAGAACTTGAGGGGATTGGGAGGTGGAATCAAATGAGCACCAGGGGGGATCAGGGGATAGGGTCAAATGAGCACTTGTAGGGTAGGGGATGGGATCAAATGAGCATTTAGGGAAGGATAATCTTCAGATGATCCATAAAAAGTTAAAATTATGGATAATCTTGATAATCCCGAAGGTGGTCTCAACACTGATAGGGAACTGGACTCACAAACGTTTGAGTGATGGACATTCCTCAGCAGAGAAGTTGCGAGAATGGGGTCTAGTGACGAATGTAAGCATTTGACATCTCTGTTGTTTTTCCTCGGTCATCTGCCTTGGTGTTTACCATTGTTTGTATACTTGCACTGGCTCTGTACACTGTAAACTTGCAATGGCTATGTACTCTGTAAACTTGCACTGTCTATGTACACTGTATACCTGCACTGTCTATACGTATGCTAAAATGTATACCTGCACTATATATACATACTCTGAAATGTATACCTATATCTATATCATCTTTATGTCATCTTCAATACTAAAACAAAACAAGGAAATACTAGAGACATTACCTTGACTAGATACAAAACATATACATAGCATTAGTTAAGAGATCACAATTAATCTACAGAACCTCTAAAAACACACACGGGTTAATTAATTACAGTATACACAGCTAGTTAGGTTAGATTTAGTGTAATTCTGCCTCAAGTTAATTAATTACAGTATGTATAGCTAGTTAAGGTTAGATTTAGTGTAATTCTGTCTCAAGTTAATTAATTACAGTATACATAGCTAGTAAGGTTAGATTCAGTATAATTTTGTCTTAAGTGAATTAATTACAGTATACATTGCTAGTTCAGGTTAAAATTGCAGAACTATTTAATTTCAAACTTATTTTTAAAGGTTTTATTATTTTTAATTCAAACGTTCTCACATCTTGAGGCACGAGGACTAATCACCATAAGAAACATCGTTATTCAGACCCTATACTGTCAACGATCGAATGGTAAACAATGGGTGGTGTTCCTCACTTATATTACCTGCTGCTGGTTGTAAACAAACCGAGCTATTCCCCTAGACCAGGGGTCACCAAACTACGGCCCGCGGGCCGGATCCCAAGTCCTTCCCCGGCTCGTGGTAGCTCAAAACTACGCTCTGACGTTACCAGAGCTTACGTTCTGGCTTGCAAGTATTGAACAGAATGATTATGCGGCCCGCGCTCGTCATTCTTTCAGTTATCCGGCCCACTGTGAAAAAAGTTTGGTGACCCCTGCCCTAGACTAACCAATTTTAAGTCATATTTAGTCGTTATTTTCCCTCGCTTAAACTCGTCACTGATGTAAATAAAAAGTGAAATCTCCCCGACCAGCGATTCTTAAGTAAAATTTAGCTATGAGGTAGGAATTATTTTTCCTCGTTTAAACTCGTCGCTGGGAGTGAATAAAAAGTGAAATCCTACCACCCTCAAAACGAACGATCCTTAAATAATAACGTCTAGCAACGAGGTAGTAGGTTAATTACTTATACTTCCTTACACTCGTCGATGGTCGTAAATAAAAACATTGAACAAGTAAACTAATTACTTCTCCTTGACTAAACTCGTCGCAGGATGTAACTAAAAAGTGAAACCTTAACTCCCTTCCCTGAGGTGCCAGTCATTCTGAAGTAGAGACCTTCTGATTACCTTACAAGATAAAAGGTATATTGACGGCCCCTGAGATATGATTATGGCCGTCACTCTCTCTCTCTCGCAGCAGCAGCAACAATAATAATAATAAAAATGATTCACCGATAGACAGAGAATGAGACAAAATTTCCCAAACCTTCAATTAACTACCATTACTACGAAACCAGCGAGGACCTTTAATTGATCCAACTGGCAGATTGTTTGCGTCGTTAGCGTAGATTAATTGGCAAGAGTTGCGGACATGATACGTATTGTTTTCAGGCATTTAGACTCTTGTCCTACTGAGGTGCCGTACTATTTATATATATCAAATCTTTCTCACTGAGGGTTCGTATATATAAAAGAACTGGTCATTGGGTTAGTTAATTAATTACCATACAGGTACAGAAGGGGGGGGGGGGGACCTCAATTTACGATGATTTTAAGATTGTTTTTTTTTTCGATTACAACCCCATCGTAGAGTGAGGTATGCCTTTACGTACTTCGCCACGACAAATCACATTACAGTATCTAGTTATGGTACATTTAAAGACCATGCTAGTGACACAGACACACAGACAGACAGACACTACAGTACCTTCCCAGAATAGTTGTCTTAGCCTTGATTATATTTCCACAATACTTGAGATGTTATAATGTAGATAACTGGTCAGTGAATTAAGTAGAGTTATTTTAGCAGCCACGTTATTCTGTTATTAATTTAAAGACAGACAGGCAGAGAGACAGACAGGCACTAACCTTCCCGTTTGTGTTATTCTTGTCGCTGGTGGTGATGTTGATGATGGTGGGGTGTTTGTGAGCCTCGGCAGGGGTGGGGTCGCTCACGGCCGGGTTGCTGCTCAAGACGGAGTTGGCCGGCATGGGGTCTACTGGCAGGGGCTTGGCCAATTGGCAGTGTGGTGGGGGGGCTTCCTCTACTGCCCCCCCAGGAGCTACCACTGTGGGAGCCACTACTGCAGGAGGGACCGCTGCTACGGCTACCGCAGGGATGGTCACGATGGGTACTGGGGTCTCCTCCACTCTCTCAACTGACGGAGAGAAAAATAAATAAAATGTAGACACAAATAAAAGAAAAACTACATAAACAAACAAACAAACACACACTCACTCACTCACACACACACACACACACACACACACAGATAATGTAGATAATAACGTAGATAATACACAAGACGACCAGATATGAGTCGTCCTCAAGGCAGCAGCAGCCACCTCACACACTCATAAAATTAGTTGGAAATTAATGTCACCGACTCATAAAATTCGCTAGAAATAATTACCCAGGTGATGAACTCGTCGAATTAGTTGGAAATAAAAGCACTGTGCACACTCATAATGTCAGCAGGAAATAAAACAATAAAATCTAAAAAATTAAACATATTTTCCTCACTGAAGGGAGTGGGGAGGGAGGGGAAGAGAGGGGTGAGTGGGGAGGGAGGGTAACAGGGGTGAGTGGGGGAGGGAGGGGAAGAGAGGGGTGAGGGGGGAGGGAGGGAAGAGAGGGGGCAGAGGGAAAGAGGGGGGTAGAGAGGGGTGAGGGAGGGGAGGGGAAGAGAGGGGTGAGTGGGAAGAGAGGGGAGGGGAGGGAGGAAGAGGGGTGGAGGGGGAGGGAGGGGAAGAGAGGGGAGGGGGGGAGGAGGGAAAGAGAGGGTGAGGGGGAGGAGGGGAAGAGGAGGGGTGAGTGGAGTGGGGGGCAGAGAGGGGTGAGGGGGAGGGAGGGGAAGAGAGGGGTGAGGGGGAGGGAGGAAGAGAGGGCAGAGGGGAGGAGGGGAAGAGAGGGTGAGGGAAAGGGAGGTAGAGAGGTGTGGGATTCTTCCTCCTCCCGCCACAAGTCCTGGTTCATTTTCCTCAACAGTTTAAAAATATTTTCTAAGACAACAACAACAACAAAAATAAACACAACCAAAACAACAACCACCACCACAATAACCATAACAACCACCACCACAATAACAACCAAAACAACAACCACCACCACAATAACCATAACAACCACCACCACAATAACAACCAAAACAACAACCACCACCACAATAACCAAAACAACCACCACCACAATAACAACCAAAACAACAACCACCACCACAATAACCATAACAACCACCACCACAATAACAACCAAAACAACAACCACCACCACAATAACAACCAAAACAACAACCACCACCACAATAACCATAACAACCACCACCACCACCTCAACAACAACCACAACAACTGCTAATGGTAATAAACCATAAATAAACTTGTAAAACTAAATAAACCACTTAAACGAGATCGACTAACGAGAATAAACCAGCAATTAATAAACCCACAGCCTAAAACAATTACACTTGTTAAACCATTAATACAACAGCCACTAACGAGAATAAACCAAAAACATCAATAAATTCTTAAACCAATCAAGAGGTTACGGATATAAATGTTAAACCACAGTAAAAGTTAAGAAAGTTAAACCATACTAAGTTAAACTATAGAAAGAGTTAAATCATACTATGTTAAACCAGGAACAGCAGCCAGGAAGTAGTCATGTTAAACCCAGACCTAATGAATGATGGTTTAGGAATGTCTGTGTGTCTGTCACCACCACCACCACCACACTCGTTAACCTTGACTGTGCGATTAATATTGATGCTGCCTTGACAAGTGTGGTAACTATGGTGGTGGAGGTAGTGGTGGAGGTAATAATAGTGGTGGAGGTAATAATTGTGGTGGAGGTAGTGTTGGAGGTAGTGTTGGAGGTAGTGGTGCAGGTAATGTTGGAGGTAATAATAGTGGTGGAGGTAGTGTTGGAGGTAATAATAGTGGTGGAGGTAGTGTTGGAGGTAGTGGTGCAGGTAATGTTGGAGGTAATAATAGTGGTGGAGGTAATAATAGTGGTGGAGGTAGTGTTGGAGGTAATAATAGTGGTGGAGGTAATGTTGGAGGTAGTGATGGAGAGTAACAAATTATCATGACCTTGGGTAAGCAAATCCACCAGTGTTTACATTATATGAGCAAACCAACCGAGTCTCACACACACACACACACACACACGCCCATGACCCCCCAGGCTAGGCTGTTGACATACTACCCTTGGCAGGACCAGTTCTAGAGTAAACATTGTACAAGGTGATCGACCACAGCAGCTAATAAGGTTAAATAACACCTCTCTCTCTCTCTCTCTCATGTTATTAATGTTGTTAATTATCGCTTTCATTAGATAAGTGTCTGTGTGTGTGTCTGGTATCCGGCGTCCAGTGCTATGATGGTGCTGTGTTTACTACTACTGTACTATTATAACTACTACTACTACTACTACTATTATAACTACTACTACTACTACTACTACTATTATAACTACTACTACTACTACTACTATTATAACTACTACTGCTACTGCGACTATTTACTACTACTACTACTACTATAACCACACCTTCGCCACCATTTACTATTAACATAATGTCAGTTTTACAGAGAGAGAGAGAGAGAGAGAGAGAGAGAGAGAGAGAGAGAGAGAGAGAGAGAGAGAGAGAGAGTTTGTTCGTGTTGGGAAATAATATTATCCTAATCTCTCTCTCTCTCAGGACAGACCTAAACCCCATCCTGTCTTCTTAAGAGCTTTATGCCTGGTTGATTAATGACTGACACACACACACACATACACACACACACACGGTTGGTTGTTGCTTAAGGGTTGTGATCTCTTTAATGTAATCAGTGAGGTGAAGAGGGTTATAATCTGGCGCAGGTAACACACACACACACACACACACACACACACACACACACACACACACACACACACACACACACACACACACATACATACATATATACATACATCTCTCAAGAAAATAACAAACATATACAGTAAAAAATAAACTTAGGTAACTGAAGAAAGAATTAATTATAGGGAGAAAATTGTCCCAGGCTACCACAATTACTACCACCACCACCACAATTACCACTACCACTACTACTACTACTACTACTACTACTACTACTACTACCACCATCACCACTACAGAATGGGGTATACAAAGTAGCGATGAAACGTGACTATGGCAGCGTGTGTCAGCAAGAAGGTGACTCACTGCTTCGTCTGGTAGTTTCCGTGTGTGTGTGTTCTAGAGGGTCTTGGGGGGGGAGGAAAGAAGGGAAGGAAGGGGGGGTATGGGGGAAAGAAGGAGGAGGAGGGGGAGGGAAGGGTTAGGGAGGAGGAAGGTTAGGAGGGGGTGGGGGTTAGGGGAGTAAGGGAGAGGGAGTAAGGGGAGGAAGGGAAGGGTTGGGGGGAGAAAAGGAATGACACACCCTTAGCCCCACCCCCCAAGCCCGTCAGGACACACACCCCCTTCCCCGTCACCACGATCAACACCAACCCCCGCCCGCCCCGCCCATCCCCACCCAGCCCCTGCCCCGCTACCGATCCACTATGACACTATGTATGACAGGTTCCATGCATGACAATCAGTGACAGATAGGAATTAATGCAAGGTAATGACGTCTGTCTGTTGTGGTGGTTTTATTGACAAGCAAGCAAGCAGACAGACACAGACAGACAGACAGACAGACAGACAGACAGACAGACACACACACACACACACACACACCTGCCTTAGGAGTCAGCTGTCTGGTTTGTTTACTATGAAGAGAATTTGTGTCGTGTGTCTGCTGGCTCTAGAAAAATTTAGTCTTGGTGTGTGTGTGTGTGTGTGTGTGTGTGTGTGTGTGTGTGTGTGTTGGGAGTAGGAGTGCCAATGTGAGTGCCCCACTTCACTCCACGCCCTCAGTAACACAACTTATATGAGAGAGAGAGAGAGAGAGAGAGAGAGAGAGAGAGAGAGCAACTATAATTACACCACACACCTAGCTGACCCCTCGTGGTAGCTAGCTCACTCACTCCACTCTCTCACTCACACACACACAGTTAACCTATTTCTCTTAACATATACACGTCAAATAGATACGAAAATATTTATTGTGTCGATAAAATTCACTCACTCACTCACTCACACACACACACTCACACACACACACACACACACTTAAGAGCCCAACAGGTGTCAGGTACAGGTGTCGGTGACAAATGCTACACCAGCAAATCGAGGCGTGAAATTTAACAACACCTGGTAATTGATTCTGACGAAACACCTGTGTAAAATTATGTGGTTATAATATAAAGTGTGTGTGTGTGTGTGTGTGTGTGTGTGTGTGAGAGAGAGAGAGATATTTGCCCTGCTTCAACATTCACCAACATAAAACCAATGATCTCTCTCTCTCAACAAACAAACAAACAAACAAACAAACAAACAAACACACACACACACACACACACACACACACACACACTACCTCCCCCCCAGATAAACACCTGTCCGTAATAATAGGTGATTAACTCCACAACCCGACACCCAGAGACACACCTGAGCTACAGATTATTATTGTTGACCATTTTAATTTATATATCAACTGCCTTAGCCTAACCTAATCCAACGTGACTTAATCTATTCTTACTTAATCTAATCTAACCTGGCTTAATCTAACCTTACTTAATCTAATCTAACGTGACTTAACCTAACCTAACGTAATCTAACCTTGCTTAATCTAATCTAACCTGACTAAACCTAATCTAACCCGACTTAATCTAACCTTACTTAATCTAATCCAACGTGACTTAATCTATCCTTACTTAATCTAATCTAACCTGGCTTAATCTAACCTTACTTAATCTAATCTAACGTGACTTAACGTAACCTAACTTAATCTAACCTTGCTTAATCTAATCTAACCTGACTAAACCTAATCTAACCTAACCCAACCTAATCTAATCCATACAAACGCCAAATCGAGTGTATGTGAGTGGAGGGGGGGGGTGAATGGTGGTAGTAGTGGTGGTGGAGTATGGTGGTAGTGGTGTATGGTGGTGGTGGTGTATGGTGGTAGTGGCAGTGGTGGTGATGGACGGTGGTGGTGGAGACAGCTGGACCTCTTCCAATACCACAATACCCACCACCACCACACTACCACAATGCCCACCACC